AATATATTTTTAATTCTAGGAAGTAAGTTCACTCGTATGTTGCTGTTCGTATGTAGATAAGAACCTGGTATTTCAGAACGAACCAAAATGACATAAATGTGTATGTTGTGTCTCTTCCATTATCAGCAACATGTATGTGACTTGCTTTTCCCTAGGTGACTCTTAACAGTACTATATCTGTATGAAATATCCCAGCATTTTTGTGCCAGAATACCTGAAATGCAACCAAGGCTTACACTAAACCCTCCCCAATTTTCCGGCTTGGCTACAACAAATGTTTTTGAATTCTTTTTTTAGTATAAAGGAAGTGTTTCTCTTGTTTCTTTAAATAATAATAATAATCAGAAATTGTAAACTCTAAAACGTTAAGGGAAAGGGATGACTTTGGAGAACAATTTTATTAATATATTGCAGTTTCGGAAGGAAAAGGAGGCAACAGTCGTGTTTGCTGTACAGTAAGACTGATTTGAATTTTTTTTTTTACTTGACTTGGAATCTTTCTTTCAGCAAATAGTCTGGAGTGAATGCATCTGCAGGAAAAAAAAGAACATCATCAGGGGCAAGTAGAATCTGATCACACAACACCGAGAGGCTTAAGTTGAGATGGAGATTGGGATACTGTTGTAGTCTTTAGGAACAGGGTTTAGAATAACCTCATGCTTGAAAGTTTGATCTCATCTGATGCCTGACCGAGATCAGTGATCCAAAGGGTCTCCCTTTCCCTAAGCGTTAAGCATGCTCACTCACATAATTGACTCTGAAAGAGGAACCCAAAATTGCAGCAAGCAGCAGATTAAAAAGTATGTACAAATTAGTGTAATGAAAAAAAAATTATATATTGTATCAAGTGTTTAAAGGAACGGAATGGAATGGAATGAACCTGCTTTCCGGAAGCGTGTAACGTTTCCTGCTATGCTGCGTGCATGTCATGCTTGCTTGGAAAGAGAGGTGGTGCTTATATTATGACTCCACGTTGAATGTTTGCCAATTAACAAAACCAAGTAAATAAGAAATGCGCTTTGTCTTTGTTTGTCTTGCTGCTGTGGTCAAGTAATAAAAAATCAGTGCCACATTAAAGACACCTTATATTGGAGTATGGAAACTTGAAAGAAGGTGGTCATGCTTGTTCTTTTTTGGAGTGTTGAGTTGTATTGTTTGTGTTTGATAAGAGATTATTCAGAATGAACCAAGTCTAGAAAAGGGGGCTGGAGTAGTGAAACAGTTGTATTGGTTAAATTTGGAAAACAATGGTTGAAAAGAGATACTAAGAGATTTTTATCTCGTAGTTATCTTGAGGTTACCAAAACGTAACTTTTATACTCACATACCGAACACTGCCATACTGTGAAAAGTGAGTGACAAATACCCTATTATCTGGTTCCTTTTGGGGGAGGAGAGGTAGGCCTTGAGGAGTAATGTGAAGATGAATTTGTTACAAAAGAAAATCTTACCAAAATGAAGCCTCAGTCGACAGCCAACGGCTGTAGTTGTCCATCCTCGTACAATGTTCTTGCCCGTGATGAATACGCGACAGTATTCGCTTCAGTGGTTAAGAGAGTTGAGAGCAGCAGTCTCATGCAAAGGCCAAGAACAGAACTGTGTTTGTGAATATTTACGCCTATCACTGCTCGCCGAACGTCTTGCGTTGGTTTTCCTGCATTTGGGTCACTTGGCTTCAGTGGCGCTCAAGCTGGAGTAAGCCTATGAACAAAGTAAAACACTATTTACTATGGGAAATGATCAACCAGGTGGCTTCAAATGGTCCTTGACTAGGCAAATGCCTAAGGCCAATAGCATTTTCCAATGTCTGCCATGTCTGCTGACTTTTCTGCTCGAAGTTCGAACAAAGAGAAACCTTCCATTTAAATTACATGTAGTATAAACCAACATAACAAAACTAACAGAAACTACGACCAACAGCCGACTTGGGGAACCAAGGAGCTTCAGAATAAGATGCAAGAATAAGTGTAACATGTAAAGGAAAAGTGGATGAATACTTACAGTTTTTGGAACAACATTTCCCTTCCAGTGGTAAAATATGGCCGACTGAAAAGTGCGCTTTATTATCATTCACGCACTTGTTTGTTGCGCGCATAATGAAGAAGCGCCGAACCACAAAGACAACTCCAATATTATCTCGCTTTAATGACTGTTGTGTGATTTTTCAGGTCAACAAATTTCTACAAAATCTTACTTTGAAACTATAGCATTTGTAGCGAAAATGCGTAGTTTGGTATTCTTTAAGTGGTCAAGCATTCCAAATTAATACGGTACTATATTTTTGTCGCGCAGAAACACTGGCACAGTATTTTTGTCCGGCGAGGCGTGGAGGTTAATGACAACTGCAAATTTGAACGAACAACGCGAATATCAAGTGCAAAATCTTGAAAGAATGGAAGGGTGCAAAATGCTTCAAAACTGAGTGAAGCTTATGCTCCTCGGATATTCGCTGTGCGTATTGTTGTTTCGATATTTGGTGAATATGTCCATGGTAATTTTGTGACATTCCTTCATCATCAGGTTGTAATAGAAGTTAAGATATGGCCCGGAGAAGCAAGGAAACTTTGTTGATGACATATCCGCTTACTCTATTTTTGTGGACAAAAGCTGACATCAAAATGTACAGTGCTTTTGTCTGGATACAATGACTAGAACAACCAGACTATGTGAGTAACGTCCTTCGTCGTAACGTCGGACATCCGGGAACTTCTGTACATTATTGAATCGCGCAAAGGGTAAAGTTGCCCCTTTGCCGCGCGTTAAACGTCAGTAGTGTTCATGCCGACCGCGAAAATGAAGATTTTTACAAAACTTATGGACTGTGCAATCATCCCGGAAGCTGCCCGCCCCCTATCGTTGACTGTTGAAAGTTTGTGGGATAAATTTTTGCCCCCAATTTTTTATTTGCATAAAAGAAAACAAGCCATCAAAAATTTAGAGGGCGCCCTTACACTTCGACGGGCGATAGTCAAGTAAATCTCCCTGAATGTTTTCACGCTGAGCTATTCGGAAAAATTTGATGAAAAAAATCATCATGAGGCAAATTCTAATAAAATTGCAACGTAGCCCATTGCAATTTGATAATCTTCTTTTCGCTGATCCATTTGGAAAGATTTGAAAACAAATGATTTTGGGGGGCAAATTTTAATAAAACTGCAAGGTTAACCCCTTGCAGAATTTTTTAAATTTCACCAAATTTTCCCCCAAATTCGACTCTTAATTTTTCTGTTCAAACCATAAAATAACTGCCTCAAATTGCGAAATTTGTTCCATTTTCTTTCACTAAGCCTTTCCGAAAGTTTTGAAAACAATTTTTCCCCTGTGTTAACAAACCTGCAAAGTTAACCCCTTGCAGAATTTGTTAAGTTTCAACAATTTTGCCCTAACATTAAAATCTGATTTTTCCCATTTTAACCATAATATAATAAACTGAAATTGTGAAATTTGTTCAAATTTTCTTCTCTTAGCAATTTGAACAAAAATGATGACAACTCACTTTTTGGGCCAAATTTTAATGAAATTGCAAGGTTAACCCATTGCAGGATTTTTTTTATTTTTATCCATTGTACCTGATTGTAAATTCAAATTTTTTTCCAGTCATAAAATAATCACCTGAAGTCGTCAAATTTATTCTATTTTTCTTTCAATGGGCCATTTAGAAAGATTTGAAGACTATTCATTTTTTGCCAAATTTATTAAAATTCGAAGGTTAATAAAATTCCTTGCAAAATTTTAATTTCACACATTTTTCCCTTATTTCAAAACATCAATTTTTCCATTCAAACTATAAAATGCTCACCCGAAACTATCATACTTTGTTCAATCTTCCTTGACCTATCCATATAGAAAGATTTCAAACCAATCATTTTGGACCAAATCTTAATAAAATTCCACGGTTTTTAATTTTCCCCAAATTTTAGGATTTTAATTTTTCCTTTCAAACCATTAAATAATCACATGAAATTGTCAAATTTGTTCCATTTTCTTTCACTGAGCCATATGGAAAGATTTAAAGACAATTTATTATTTGGCCAAATTTTGATAAAATTGCAAGGTTAACCCCTTACAGAATTTGTAAATTTTTACCAATTTTACACAAAATTAAAATATGAATTTTTCCCATTTTAACCATAATATAATAACCTGAAATTGCAACATTTGTTCAATTTTTTCCTCCTAGCCATTGGAAAACATTTTGATGACAATTCATTTTTGGTCAAATTTTAATGAAATTGCAAGGTTAACCCATTGCAGGATTTTTTAATTTTTACCCATTGTCCCAAATGGTAAATTCTAATTTTTCCATTCATATAATAATAACCTGAAATGGTCAAATTCGCTCCAGTTTCTTTCAATGAGCCACTGGGAAAGACTTGAAGATAATTCATTTTTTGCCAAATTGTAATAAAATTCCAAGGTGAACCCCTTGCAGAATTTTCAAATTTTCACACATTTTCCCCTTATTTTAAAACATGAATTTTTCCATTCAAACTATAAAATGCTCACCTGAAATTATCATAATTTGTTCAATCTTCCTTAAATGAGCAATTTGGAAAGATTTGAAGACAATTCATGTCTGGCCAAATTTTAATGAAATGCCAAGGCTAACCCATGTAAAACTTTTAAATTTTCTCCCACTTTTAAAAATGTGATTTTCCATTATCATAACTTAAAGAATTTCCCCAGACTGAGCCATTTGGAAGATTTGGAGACAATTTATTTGGGGGTTAAATATTCATAAAATTGCAAGGTTAACCCTTTATGTTTTTTCATTTTTCACCCCTTTCCCCTATTTAAGACTACCATAGCTTAAGACCATCAGTAACTTTTGAACCACTATCTAGTTTTAAGCTACCAGCTATATTTTGACGGGCGAATTTATGCCCAGTATAGGGCAGTACTAGATTCTGTTTGCATCTCATAGAAAGGGTTTGTGACAAATTTGAAGGAACTGTTAACATTTTAAAACTAAAACAATATAATACACAATAACAAACGCGGCTGTTTCATTCATTGGGACAGTTTTTAATGCTCTGACAAACTTGCCATCACATGTTGCACTTATTAAAAAAAGTACAGATTTCCAAGACCAATAGTCTTACACTATTTACATATTTTACAAATAACTGTAGGTTTACACGCAACTGATCAAACAGTTTCACACACTAGACGGGAAAAAAAGTAGTTTACAATACCAAGAAGTAGCCTACGTTGTATCTGAAATGGCAACTGGCTGGGTCGCCGGTGTTTTCACGAAGTGACAAAAGCCCAGACAAACGACAATTTTTCGATCTGGGGGTTTTTTGGGCCATTTTACTTCCTTCAATCCAAAGAACAAACTAGCAGAATTTCCTCGTAACTGTTAACAAATCACTAACAACAAGCTTGGTCTCTGCGTTTGTCTGTTTTCAGGAAGTGACAAAAAGTCACGTAGTTAGCAGGGCAAAACTAAAGACAATATACACACTCCCTGCATGAGTCTTTGTGTGTACCCATGCATGAGAACAACGTTGTACATGAACACCTGCGCCTGTTGAAATCTGATGGAATTTAGCAATTTTCTTCCAGCAGGTGTTTTTTTCACGAAATGACAAAAGTGTGTATGATGCAGTAGGAAAAAAAAAGACCTCTGTGTTTTTCTGCTTTCACAAAGTGAAAAAAAAATTTATTAGCTTTTATTAATGAATTAATCTATAATTAAGATACTATATCTGCAACTAAGTATAGATTAACATTTGCCAAGTCTTACATTTCATAACTTTGTAAAAAATTTCGCAATCTGTAACATAAAAGTGATCGAAAATGCGTATTGAAAAGGCTGGTATTTTGAAAGCATTCATCTCAGATTGTCCATTTGGCAAGATTTTGAGTTTTTTTGTCAATTCCTGAAAACACTGACGATATGTTGAAGTCAGACTGGAGATTGTTGAAGTGACTTTCTTTTAATCATTTATTATTACACCCCCTTTTTTTTACCAAGACACTGGATTGCCATCTGAATGTACAATTTCTCAGAATTAAACCCTTTTTTCCTGGGGGAAAAACAATGTCTAGCAAACAGAATAGAATTAAACAGTTTTAATCTGCATAAGTTATGACAACTCAGAGAACTGAAGTTCCACAAACGCCACCTTTTTCCACTTAAACATTATTTGGAGGCTAGTGGCATAAAACATCAAGTTTCACTTTGTTGTTTCAAGTTGACATCCTTCTACAAAGAACTTGTGAACTAGGAATACATGTCAGTTGAGCTGAAATATTTCGGGGGGGGGTCAGTTTCACACCGTAAGGCCCAAATTTAATAAGAACTAACAATCTTTAGCTCTTGCTGCAGCAAAGATCAGACTTTGGATTCTGAATGCCAAAGCCGATTTCAGGACCAGTAATGACCACAAGGGGCGTCCATTATAGACACACACCAAAGCGAATTTGCTGAACAAGACATTTGTCCTTAAGATTTACTGTATAGTACAAAAATATGCCCAGCTTTTGTTAAAGCCAGAAATTAACATCTTCAAAGCTGTTATTAGATGCACGCACATCGAGTCAACAAATCTTAACTCATATCACAGCAGGGACTGTATTTTCAGTGGTTAGAAAAAGATGACATGAGCAACAGAGGTGGTGATATGGAGCGGGGGGGGTCTACTTGCTGTAAGGCTTAGCATTAGGATTCTGTCTCTCCTTTTGGTACTCCATCTCCATCTTGGCTTGGATCTGTTCCCAGTCTACCTCAACCTGGCAAAGAAAATCAACCCATTCATGAGAATTTCTCCTCCGCAGAACTGACGTCGGAATTTAACGATGCAAGGTTACAACAGTAATCTGGAGGCAAGGATGTAGGGTGCGTTTCCAATTCTTTTTTTTTTTCCACAGAGAAACCTCCTTTATGCATAACCTGTGGAACAAATGTACTACCCTGCAAGATGGCAGCCATGCAAACCCTTTATAGTATTCCACTTATCTGGAAACATCTTTTTTTATTATGACATTTTTGTCCTGCTGGATCAAGGGAGATGGACAACTGTACAGTTTTATGAAAGGTGATTCACTATTTCATGAATCAAATTAAACTCTATGTTGTGCATGTCAAGATCAACTAAAACTAGAAACTAATTACTCTGAATTCAAGAGTGGACCTGATTAACCATGATTTTACATAGCAATGTATGTTACAGCTGCGCAGTAATATAAGCATCAAATACCTTTCAGGAAGAAGCTTAAAGACCACAATAATAGAACACAGTGAGGAATGAACAAACAAACACTGGACTTACTCCACTGGCATACTGCAAGAAGCGCTTGTTGGTCTCTTTCTTCTCGAAGCTGTCCAGGAATTGTTGCCGATGGGCTAACACTGTGTCCACGTGCGTTTTATGCTTTACAGCGAGCTCAAGAGCTCTGAAAAAGCAAGCAAAATATGAAAAATTCACTCTCTGTTCCCTCCTATTCGCAGACCAAATGACGTTACGGAGCAAGAATGTCACAAGCACCCACCTATCCCAGTTGTAGAGGGTAATGTTCATCATGATGGCCCTGAAGACCAGTCCCGCCTGTAACAGGATTCCCTCGGCATCCTGGGGATTGCCACAAAACAGAGCCATCTCTGCATTGCGCAGATCCTTCAGGGGTAGCTCCTTGATGTATAGAATGTACTGCACCTTGTCGGCCTGAGTTGAAAACAGAGAGACGCTGTAAGGAGGGAATCTGTAGAAGTTAACTAGAAAATATTGACCAACCTTGTAGGCCCGAGTCAAAAACAGAGAGATGCTATCAGGAAGACTGTAGAACACACATGCACACAGAAATGTACTCAAACTGGGCAGCCTGAGTTGAAAACAGACAGGCTGTCAAGAGGGAAGTCCGTAGAATGCACTTCAGAACTTTGTCCGGACACCGACTTTCCATCTGAATGTACAATTTCTCAGAATTAAACCCTTTTGTGGAGTACACACTGTGCTCTTTTTCCTCTGACAAGCGTGCAGTTTAAGTGCTTCCCAAATAGTCTACAGCCGGTAAAAACTTTGAAAAGGATGTTTACTCACAGCATCTATGGCTGCATAAGCCACTTCAGCCGTGTTAAGTTCCTTGGCGTAGGAAGCCATGGCAGCAAGACATGCCCAGAGAGCTTGGTCCTGAAATAAATCGAGTAGAAGTCAGCTGTAGACAAATCCGAGGAGACGCCATTCCTGTAGCACCGCCACACTCCTGCACAAATGTTAACTTGAGAGCTTGCACTCGTTTTGACTAGTCACAACACCCGATTGGTCTGAGAGAATTGTAACATGTGCCTACCACCTGTGTGTGAACAGGATGACCCCGCAGTAATGGCTTCAAGTTCTGGTTGCTCAATAAGTCCATAAAAAATGTGACAGTTCTTCATCCCTTCTTATAAAATTGGAGCTGAAAAGTACTGACCCTCACTTTCTATGTGAGGAACTTTCCAAAATGCTCCCAAATCCATAAAAGTGCAAGAAACTGATGAGACACTACTTTCCTTTGGGGGCAACAAGTCACCAACGTGAAGTAACAATGACTGTGTTCTGCCTTCTCAATCCTGCAAAATCCTCCACGTTCTCTCGTGGACGTAGGGATATAGGAGGATTTCTTGAATTAGGATATCTATTCTCACCTTGACAAATCTGCACAGCCTGACGGCATCTTCCCACCTGCTGCTGTTGACCAAGTCATGCAGCATGGCTGGGTAAGGTGAGATGCCCGTGCTGACCAGGGCACCGTCAGCTCGACGGATGGTCACATGGTTACCCAGGAAGTCTACAATTTGTGGGTTCTTGCCAAACTCACTAAGTTGGGGTGGAAAAAAGGACAAATTGGTGGATACAATTTGAAACTGCGAATTATTCACTGTTCACATGCCTGATATGATTTGCTCAGTTTAATTTGCATATGCAATCAGAAAACATACCCTCACATGACACTTGTGACCAGGTCACGTGCTGCCCTCAATCGTTCATACATGATGCCAATAACATTGCTCAAACCATCAGACTCACTCGCAAGGTCTACTCATTAATGGACATTACAGTTCTATTTACCTTGCGTCTTTGACCATGATTGTCAGTGGTAGTAGTTCCCGGTCAACATAAGCCACACTGGGGTAGAACCACACCGTCAGTTTGCTGTCTTGCAATGCTGCTAGCATGTTAGTGCCATCGTTAACAGCCAGACTGGAAATCATGTTGCCTGTCAGAGTCAAAGGTTATACAAAAAGTGACAATTACGGTACACTCAGCTGTGCAGGGTGTACGCACTTGGTGAAGCAATAAATAACAACCAGTTACCGTACACCTGCAACTTTGGCCATTTTCTCAATGAAGCAAGTATTTTTTCACTGTCACTGGTACTACATCTACAACACAAAGCAAGAAGCTTGACCAACAGCAAGGACATTTTGCAAGGATTTGCAGATGACATTTAACAGATAGTTACCCATTCAAACCAATGCAACACTTGTTCACTCGAAATAGTTTAGATTTAGTTACAAATGGGGAAATGATCTCAATCTTTACATAAATGCGGACAGTCAGACAGGTATCAACCCCCTTCTACTTGAAACCTACGACTTACAAAATGCCACATGGCACCTGGCATTATCTGAAATGTATCTCACCGAGTTTGACAATCTTGGCTGGCTTGCCCACATTGCGCACTGTGCTGAGATAAAGGTCACGATTCTTGTCCACAATGGCGAGGTGTCTATCACTGGCCGACCCACACTGGTCCAAGGCTATCTCGACGATCTCAAGCTACACACAGAGAGACAGACCAACCAACCAACCCCTCAAAATAAATAAGTCTAGTTGTAAATCGCAAAGTATGTTTTTGTTGATACCTTTATTTGTGTCACGTTACACTGCAGGAACAATTCTGACAACAGAGTTTACCAAAATTTCAAACACTCAAATTTGATATCCCAGAAGAATAACTACTTATTCATGAAGAAGAGGCTTTAAACAAACAAGAGTACCTTGTGAGCCAGCGGTTTACTGTCGACCTGTCGGCTCGTAGCAGAGTCAAAGAGATGAACAAGCTTCTCGTCCGATTTATCCCGGACTGCGACGGTGTCATTGCTGACACACAGCGACTGGGCACTCAGAGTCTCTGAATGCATCCCAGGGAACTTTGGTGACGACAGAAGGCGACCCTGGACAAAAAGGTTAAAATGCGATTGGAACTTACGAAAACGGGCAGGGAGAAATTGGTATATCCGAGTTTGTGCCCAAAACCTATGGATGCTTTGAAACTCTGTACTCAGCAGCCATGCAGCAAACTTGCTAATCTGCATCCATGTTCCCAATCATGCCTTCAAGTCAATGCAAGTCTACATTCTACACATGAAAGAATTACACAAAACAATTTACCTCGTATGTGTACAGATGGATCCCAGCACTGTCCACAATAGCAAAATGCCTGGTAAAAAGAGATTAACAAAGGAAGGTATTAAACGGTGTGGGACACCGTGAGGCACATATTCAACAATTGGAAAGCTAGAAATGGATGCCACACCTTACCCACTTTGATTTCATTCTTTCACTGCTATGATTCCCTGCCTTTCTCCGCATGGACATGGTGAATGTAACCATGACATGTTTTAGAGGGAAAATTAGACAGAAGATTTTGCAATACCGCACTCACTTTTCCGCCTGGACAATTAATGTCACTGTGCCTTCCTTGAGGTCAAAGATCATTGGGGTGTTCCAATTTTTGGTACTGCAACAAAATAAATGAGTATTATAAGTACTGGTTATTAATAATGTTGAAACTAAAAAAAGAGATGTATCGTACTTAATTGAAGAAAAAACATTAGGTAAAAAAAAAGGAATTTACCAGACACGGAACAATGTATCTGATGATTTTGAGGGATGTGTAAATTCAAACTAGATGTGTACACTCCCACACCCCAGCCGGCAAGATGGTCCATTAACCCTAATCCTCCTCAATCCTTTAGGTGGTTTTGGAGGATTGAGGGTGAATGGCAAAAGTGCATGGCTGATTGCAAAGGATGCCATGAGTGAAGGTCGTGGGTTAGACCTTGTGTTGTTCTTGCTCAGTCATGCATTAATTCAGCCCGATATTTCTTTTGAATAAACCGCACTGCTCAAGAATGCCATTCGCACTGCCTCAACTTATGTTGACAGGAATTGCCAGAGGATTTTGAAGGATTGAGGCAGTAGGCACACCTCCAAGTCACATTTTCAAGAAATTTTGGAGGACTTTGGAGGATTGAGGGAGAATCCAATTTCGACAGCCCCCAAATTGGAGGATTCTGGAGGATTGAGGAGGGTCCCTAGCAAAAAAGGGCTTGGGGATTAGGGTTAAAATGGTCAAGGGAATGTGACATTTTCATAATTTCAACAATTCAAGTTTTACCTGTACACATAGCACTGGGAAGATGTTGCCACCACTAGGTGGTCAAAGCCGATGGACGTTTTGATGATGCGATCTCGGAACTCCAGCTTTTCCTTGGCATCATTCATGACATTCCTAACATGAATTGTCTTCCTGGAGATGACCACCACCTCGAAGTTCTTCCACTCAAGACGCCTGGGAAAGAAGAACGAATTTGCTCTTTGATTCAAGAATTGACCCCATCCATGAGAACAATCCACAACTTCCAACGACAGGATTTGTATCAGATGCCTGCAAGGACCTACCTTTCAATTACTTGAGCAAAAATGACATGTCCACTGCCGCAGGCCCCTGCAACCTGGGTACCATCCCCACTCCATGCAATACAGAACAGGCTACCGGTATTGGGCTTCTCCAAGGCATATGACCACTGGAGAGAGATAACACAGCACATCAGAGAAGGTTTAACAGATGAAAAATAGTTATCATCACTGCAAAATTCTATTTGTCATTCCACCTCAGAGTCACTTTTAAGCTGTGACAGATCTTGCTGTAACACCAAAGGGGACCTGGAATGCAAACCCAGCTGCTGGTCATGTAGGGTGTCCTTGAGCAAGCCACTTTACCCTAACTGACCACTCTTCATTGAGGAGTGCATACTGCAGCCTACTTGAAATAATGCATGGCCATAGACTCCTGCGTAATTTCAAGCCTTCTATCTAAATACAGCCATACTCTTTGGACACTGAGTACCAACATGTGGCAACTCATTCAGACAAAAGGAAATACACTATAGTGGGTCTTGAAAAAAAAACTGTTCCAACTCACCCCGCTCTTGTCACACAGTCGTAACGTGTTGAACGAGCCAATGGCAAACAGCTGGCCGTCCGGAGCCCAAGACACAGAGACTATCGGGTACTCGTGAGGATGACTGCTGTAGAGCTGTCTCCCATAGGAATCCCAGACCTTGTAACGGCAATCTTCTGCCCCAGACAGGATGAGGTTGTTAACAGGATTCCAGTCAACCTTCAGGATAACGCCATCATGTGCCTTCCACTGCAAAACAGAAATCTGTTCATTATCTTTACAGATAGCCTCAAGAAATACTTGAAATCTACCATCTGGATGAAAGGTAATCCTCAAGACAAGGTTAAATTTACATGTCATATGTAAAGACCTTCATTAGCCCGACATTTCACAAAATAAAAAGTATCCCTTTCGGCCATCCCTCGTGAAAACTGAAGAATGTTAAGTTCATAGTATGCACTCCCAAAAAAGGTGTGGGGGAGAGATTCCACTTGGTGCAATTCTCATCTTTGAGCAAGAGACTTAGCTGTGACACTCTGCACTCCATTCATTTTCTCAAGAAATTAAGCATTTTTCTCTTAAAAACCAACAAATTGAAAGTTGTCACTGATAAGACATCAAGAACGGAGTGCTCAAAGTTGGTGACTTTTTAGAGACTTACAATCTCTAGAATAACAACTGACAGTTGCTGTTCCTGACCTGTAACGGCTTGGCATTGGCCTGCATGGACTTGATGATGAGCTGTCTGCCGTTTGTGAACAACACCTGGTCAGAGTCTGGAGACCATCCTATTGAGTACACTGGGGAACCTGAAAAGTATTTTACATCAGGAAATATGTGGTAACATGTCAGGGCAGGAGGAAAGTTAAAAAATTTTCAGAGATGGCGTAGGTCCTAGGTCCATCAAAACTACAATGATCTTTAAATATTGTGGTGCAACTTGGGAAACATTCTGAGGCTTCTTTGACAGGGTTTCATCTTAAAGTGTAATGGGCTACAGGTTGTCTTTTTTTTCAAGCATTTACCTGTCTGTGCTAACGTTGAACGTAACATCCCACTGCGAGACCATATTTTGACCTGTCCGTCCTCCCCTGCTGTTGCCATGGCTGTCCCATCATAGCTCCATCGGCCTGACAGCACAGCGCCTGTGTGGGCATCCACAGACTTCTCTACGCGGCCAGATTTGGAAATCAAGAGGAACTTTCCTAAAGGCAAAAAATCGACAAATACACTTTTCATACTTAAATGCTGCCTAAATTTTAGAGGGACAGAAAGCAAGTCTCAGAATTGAACTGCAGTCGCAAAATGACTTCTCGTTCAAGGAAAACATACTTGGTTTGCTCCTATAAAAACTCAATAAACTGTTCATTAAATTTTACTACCAACATTTGCAGGAAAAGCTACGAACAGCAATACTTAAAACAAATGTTACCTCATTTCTTTCTTTAAAAGTGTTGCATTGTTTTACTTTCAAATAGCTTTTAAACAGATTCCTTTTGTAGCACTTCAAAATTTACCATCCGTGGAGGTCAGAACAAACACATCCGTCTGGGGTTGTTTGGTTTTCCCACCCAGTCCCTTTGGGAAGAAGTGAATGTCTGTTGCATAGACATCATTCGGCAGCTGGGCTAGAGTTGTGGTTTCGTCGGAGAGCAGTTTCCATCGAAGTATCTTGTGATCATCACTACAGGAGTATAGTTCTTCAGATGTGGTCCACGCCACACAGCTCACGAGCTCTGAATGTACACAGCAGTTAAGGATTCATAGCCTCCACAGAGGGTTGGACACGTTAAAGGTTATTTTGAGTGATGAGTTTGGTGAAGGTATTTACACTGGAATGATCTAGACAAACTTGGGGTTGAACACAGCTCGCAAAATGGAAGGAGCTGGCTGAAAGATTTTTTCTTTCTGGTTTTTCTTCCACCCAAATACAAGTTTACGAGATTAAACACTGTTAAATACCAGCAGATGCTGACGACCCTCACAGGAAGAGCTGGATGGATTTGTGCAAGGATAACAGATTTCCTCAAATGCTTTTATAAGTCTGAGTCAAAATCATGATTCACTGCCATCTACATCTGTGACTGCTGAAAAGAACTGTTGGAAGGTGACTTTTTCAATATTAAGAAAAGTAATATTACTCAGGTTTACTTAAAACTTTATGAGGGAAAGGATATGTTTAGCATCTTTAGCAAGTGTTGTCTTGAAGCGCATTATGATCCGGTGACGTAGGCTTCTGGCTTTCACAAAGGCTGACTGCTTACTTACACAGCCACAGGTGTAAATTCAGACTATATTGATATGGATCTAGGTTTTGTTGCTTGTACAATAAATGTTGATCCGTCTCTGCAAGATTAAAATTAAAAAGTATTAATGGGCTTGCTTTGTGTTGAAATATAAATGTTATGGGGTACAACAGGGACAAATTTTTGCCCCTAGCCCTTCATGCCCTATGACCCTCCCAGTTCCGACTCTCTCACCAAAAGAAATTGTCCCCTGAACATGATGATGGCTTATCCACATAACATTACACATTACTAGGCTACATACCCTAACATGCTCACATGTAAACCCCACCGAGCATGCTAAGACTAACCTGACTAACTTGAGGCATTAATTTTAAAACTCGGCCTCTTTTTTTTCAAATTTTGGACTTGATCATGATCAAGTAAATTCGAAAACAAAAGAACTGGACCCAATGTTGGAAACTAAAATAATGTGACCCAAATATAGGAATGGCAGTAATTCCTACAAGAGATGGAGGGGGACAAACTTATATTAATTATGTTGTCTTCATTGGGAAATCCACAGAGGTACGGATGTAAATACGTTTCATGACCCATTGAAGTTCACTGCTAGGCATCATTCATTCACCTGTGATTCTCATATCACAGTGGGTGACGACATATGCCTGATATGGATGAAGCGTCTGCGTTACTATATCAGCCCAAAACACTATGTTTCTTTCATTCCAACCAAAAATTCTAGGAATTGTTCAACACACTTTTGAACACTTTGACCAATAATCTGTGTTAAGAAGATGAAGTTTCACATGCTGTGAAAAACCAAAACAAAATTACCTAGGCATTACATTCCGACTTCAGCTCTCGTTACAGGATTGTGCAGATGGAATTTTTCATTTGCGCATGTGCAAATGACCGTCTGCATCAACTGAACAAACTCGATAATCAAAGAGATGTAATTACATCTTTGTCAGCTGACACAGACATCTTGTCTAAATTTCCCTTTAATAACTGTCTTTAAACTAAGAGGCCAGATACTGCATCCTCGAGTTTTGTTTTTTATTTTCTTCTTCTTTTTTGGAAATTGCGAGAATCGATAAAATTATTGATCGAGGATACAACCTATCAACGACGCCGCAGTGCATGCTGGGCAGGCAAACAATTTTTGGCAGCCATCGGATCGGAGCCGGTGGCGTACATGCCTAGCTAGCTACATAGTTAATAGCAAAGAGTCGAGTCGCGTCGTCAGTAATTCGTACTTCAGTGCAGTGTCAGTGCAGAAGTTCGGAACATGTAATGTAGACCTAGGCCTAAGTGCTTCATTAACTTAAACGGCCAGCGGGTTAAGGTGACTGTGGAATTCAAAGGTAAATTCAGGGTAAATTCAGCCGCTGCAATCGCAATGTTGTTAAAAATTACAATTACAAAAATTACAAAACAGCTTGTGTAAAGTGCAGTTGAGTGGGCACCAGTGTTTTGATTTGAAATAATGTTCCTAATTTTATATGGCATGTATGGTCGTTCTGATTAATTTCACCGGTAGATTACAAGATGGAACCCAACCGAAGTACCAGTCGCTCAACGTTGAATGTTACAATACCTAGCGAGATCGAGGGTAGCAATGGCAGCCCTCACCCAACACTGGCAACAGAAGTCGAGCAGGTCACTCGGTTGTCGGATCATGGGTCAGAGAAGGCACTACTGCCCTTACAGAACCAGCCTGGCTCTGCTATCCAACAGAGGGAGTAAGTTTGGATAAAAGAATGGTACTGTTTTGTCTGAAGGTTTCTTCAAGCATGATTTAGACCCACTTTTCCCTGCCAGAGACCCTTAAGTAAGAGCTTTACAAATAATTGAACTCTTCTTCTAGCAATGCAGCACTTATCTCACTGTGGACTGTTGTTTTCATCAGGCAGAAATTCAATCTGTGTTTACATGTGTATTGCACGTCCAATATCAACCACACTAGCCTCAAATTTTCTACCAAGTACAGCAGGAATTGTCACTTGAAATCTTACACTTTATGCTGAGAGCCTTTTCTACAAGGGAAAATTAGTTTTGTTGTGATACACCTTTCCTTCTCTGCAAAAATCAAAAAGTAAAGTGAACTTTGTGCATTGCAAACTTGTTCATAGAATATAGAAGTCTGTACATCTCTCAGAATTTTTTTAACCCTAACCCCCAAGGGTGTATGTAAAATCATATTGAAATTGGAGGATTTGGGACTGTTAGGGTTAATGTTCCTGTATTAAATTCTTATATTTTCATATCCCTTCAGATTGACAGAAATCTTAGCAGCTCGTGCCATTGAGCGATGTTGGTGTTCCTACAGAGACAGACAGATGTTTAAGCTTCTCAAGCATGCCATTTGTGCAGCGGTAAGTCCCAGCTACAGTCTTTCCCAGGGCCTTCTAGTCATTTGTCTCATTTCCAAAGGCAGCAAAAGTATTGCTCCATCTGTGCAGATAGACGGGTACCTTTCCCCACTTCCACAGAAAAACAGATTGTAGAAGGTGGGGAAGTCATCATTGTACCTGTACCTATCAACTTTTCTCTTGTTTGTTGTTTTGTATTGATTTCACCAGGTTGTGTATTTGTAATGCTTTCCTTTTCTCTTTAATCTATAGGAGCATTCACTGACCCATGAGATTCTCCGTAAAGTTAGTCCAACAGAAGCAAAGCTCATCAGAGACCCCAGTTTACGAGCAAGGGTCCGCTTCAGGTAGTTGAGATCTGATTTTCTGTCATCGTATATTTTTTTAATCATCTGTAACATTAGTTGCCTCCACTTACACAGTTTGTCACGAGAAAACTCAACTCAGTAATTTGTTCCCTCATGCCTTTCAGATTTGCAGGGTCTGAATTTCCACCGATTATTCTTTTCAAAATATTCACCAACACGGAAGGCACCGGGCTACAGTACCTCAGCGGCAAACGGAACATCAAGCCTGCTTCCGATGTGAGTAGCATGCAACCTAGTGGAACAACCACACTGTGATGTCCCAAATTTTTAATACATGCAGTTTCCTGAACAATTCTAAGACTGAAATCAATGTTTCATGGATAGTTTAAGAAAACAAAGCAGTTGCTGGAGTGCTTGCCATGCCTGCTTCCAAAGATATGTGCAGTGCAAGGAATTCTCCCCCCCGAAAAAAGTAATTTGACTCCAGAGTGGAATACCTACTATGTAACCTCTTTGGACTGGTGCATACATTATTCCAGGCTGCAGTGGATGCCTGTCGCATGATGGGTCATCGGAAATTCTACGACCAGATCATAGCAGACACTTGCCAGCATGAGCGAGACAAAATTACCAGTGAGGTTGATGTGACTACAGTCAAGGACTACATGAAGGTAAGTTGGCTGTGCATGCAAGGAGTTGGACTTACGTGCTGTTGCTAGTTTTGACACTTCTGAGTAACACTTCAGATTAATTTTGGATACTAAGATTCACGACTCTGGACATCACAATTCCAGTGACCTACTTTGTGAGGCTAAATTCTTTCTAATTTTCCAACTACAAACCATTTCTTAATATGGTACAAAACCATAGTTTGTTTATCAAACCATTTCTTAAACTGACTTCTCATTTTGTAATTTTTTTCCATTCCTGTTTTGCAGTATCTGAGCAAGTTGGATGAGATGCCGTCATACATGGGCGGCAGGGAGAACATGTGGAGAAAATTGGATCAGTCGGGTGAGTAGATCTTCCGAAAACCATGAGCAAAATTGTGAGGATTCATTGATCAGTTCTAATAAACAAACATTGAACAGTTGGAAGACAAGAGATTTGAATTTTTTCTTTTGTATTTCCAGTTTTGCCCAGGACTACCATTTTGTATGATGTGATAGATTACCTTAATCGAGGTGGCAACTCTCCATCAGCAAGGCTGCAAGCTGAAATGCCTGCACTTACAGCCAGACCACTCACAGAAGAAATGCAGCGGGCACATGTCCGGATCATCTCAGAATTACGGTTAGCAGAATTCAACATCATCCTTGAATTTCACCAGATTTTCCTTTTCTGTAATCCTTGGGCCAGTTTCGTAAAGCTGATGAACACAGAAATTGGCTTAATACAGAAAATATTTCCTTTGCCTAAAAACAGGTGAACAGCCACAATGCAGTGCAAAGTATATGACATAATAGTAGCTCCCAGCTTATTTTTTTCTTTTCACAAGAGTCTGCTAAGTAGTGTTTTCCACGTTGCATATCCTAGAAATCAGGAAGGGCAAACCCAAAAGAACTGTTGATTTTGACTTTTGCCTACTATTAACATTTGTGGCAGGCGATTCACTCATAATTGTTTTCTTATACAGAGAACCATTGCAGATCCCCATTCCATCCCCTACTTTCAAGCCATCAAGTTCCCGAGGCAGTACACCAGGGCATACATCAAGACGCTCCAGGCAAGCCAAGCAGAGAGCATCCAAGATGAGAAAAATGTACATGGCAAGCAAAGCAGAGGTGAGATTTTAAAACTTTGAACATCTTCATATTCACACAACTTTAAAGGCTGGTGAAGTGATTTGCATTCAGATTTTGTCTAAATTTTGAAATACACCAGTATCTCTTGCCATAGTTTTTGTTGGAATTTTACTTGTACTGGCAAGAGACTCTTTAATTTTGATTGAAATGTCTATTATGTGACTTTCATTTGCTCCACCAGTCACGTGGGGAGAACCCTTCTTATGATGATGCTGTTGGCACCGTAGCTGCAGCTCAAGTGGTGTCAGGAGGATACCAGGACGATGAATATGGGATGCTGGATGATGATGTAGAGGAAGAATGGCAGAAGGAGGCTGACCAGCTGTATGCGTGGACACAGGACCTGTCGTATGAGGACATTGGGCTGACCACACCTTGCTGATGGAGGACTGCATTCAAGTCCTGTATAAGATTAATGCCGAGATACCAGACCTGTCCTTTGGAGACACCATGCTGACTCAGTTACAGTTATACAAGCACAAGATGAACTGTAGTGTGTGGCAGTTGTAACTTTGCATCAGGCATTGGAATGGACAGGGGAATGTCAATGTGGGAACGACGGGCAAAAGCGTGTTGCTGTCCAGACTGAAGTATACGTTTTCTGCCTTGACAAGACATGTTCCTGGACGATGGCCGATTGACTTTGTACGAGTTTGTCACTGTTGCTTTGGCCAGGCTTGTAGGACAACACTTGAATACTTGGACACAAGTCAGTGTTGTAACGAGTCACTAAATTTGGTGACTCAAGTCGGGTCGAGTCATTTTTACACTGACTCAAGTCCAGTCATTTGGTCAAGAAGTCGAGTGAAGTACTGAGCTCAAGTCAATATGAGTCACAAATTTTTGAACAAAATATAATAAAAACACAACTACATGTAAGTCATTTTTTGGTATTTCTATTTTTCATTTAGACAAAATAAATGAGTGTGACAGGTATCTAACCAACTAAAATTGTGCTTTTGATTTTTTTGAGACTCGAGTCTTATAAGCTTGCACTCAAGTCTCCATGAGAGAGTTGAGTCAAGTCATTTGGTTACAGAGACTCAAGTTGAGTCATCTACCCATCAGGACTCGAGTCGAGTTGCCAACAATTGTGACCCGAGTTGAGCCACTGACTTGAGTCATTACTACTGTGACTGAAGAATAGTTCAACACAAGGACCATGCAGTATGCTATTGATGTTCCAATACACTTTATGCACAGAAAGAAATAGCACTAGCGACTGGTACTGTGTTATGTTAAGTACATCGGCACCACATTGCAGTTCCCCATATATCATATGTGTCACTGCCGGCCGTCTGCTCTGCGTTGCACTTGAGGGCGCCATTCCAAATTATCAGAGTCGAGTAGACGTGGAAAGATAAGGGTCGTTGTGGGGGCGCTTAGCCCCGAAAACTCTGATTGTGCGGTGGAAGTCTTTAAAAAGGAGAAAGAGCTTTGATATTAATTAAATCAATGGAAATCTTTAGTTGAAATAATCAGTTATCCAACGACAGATATTTTTTTTCTGGCACTCAATTCCTTTTATTCTTCTCTGTAAACCCCCTTAACATTCCTCTATCAGGTCCTATAGAGGAGTTTTATGTTTCCTTTTTTTTTTAATGAAACCTTTGTCAACCAGAAGAAAAGTGAACTTGATTTTTAAAGCAACTTTCAAGGGGTGGCAATGACAGACAATAACATCTGTTCAAAATGGCAAAGTTAGGCCAACTGGGAATAGCTGTCCATAAACTAAATTATACATGAAAAAGCATTCCAAGATAGTTAAAGCACAAATAAACCTATCACAGGTTCTCTTGCTTCTGTCTTCTCCAATGAGCATTTCAGAATGATACACCCACAGTAAGTAACCTGTCACGGCGTTGCCTCATTTTCACACGTACGTTGCTGATACTGTGCTCATGCACACCCCTTTACACTGCTCCCATTGGGTCTGCCCCTGAAGAGGGAAGAACTCTCTCTCTCCAGCGCTGTGACTGCCAGTGAAATCTGCCAGTTTTTTTGCAGGAGACTTTATACAGACATTCAGATTTAATTAAACTAATATATTTCATGTTATACTTTTAAAGTACTGTAAACACATACAAATGCTGCACCTGAAAGTATCAACCAATATGCGATACATAAGGCTGGGAACTGAAACAAAAGGAAGGGTGAAGAATTTACAATCAAGTTTACACAAATAACACAAAATTTTAAATGAACATAGTTAAGTCTTGTCCAACTTGTCTTTGAGTAGATGAAGTGTTAAGGATGGCAAAATGAAATACAGTTATAATTCTTTTTAATAAAAATTCTCATCTTGCAATCAGTATGTTTGATGTGCAAATCTTTGCAAATGAGTTCAGGCAAAAACATTATCAATTGTATTAGTACAACATATACAAACACACAATTCAGCAAAAACTACAGCTAAGCATATTTCAGAGCCAGTAATACAAATGAAAAAAAAAACAAACTGTCACATCTATTGAAAAATCAGGGAAAAAATGAGGGGATGACTAAAAGTGTTGGTTGATAAAAGGTAGAGGCAATGGAGGCATTCCAAACATTACATTTGGCAATGACAAACCAACTGACAACAACAATTTCTGCCAAAGAATGCCATTTAAATTTCCTAGCCATCTTAGAATGTCATTGGCTGCTCATCTGTCCCCATTCGTCACATGTACTTAGTTATGGGAATGATTGCCGGCCGCACAGAGTAATGCCGATAATGTTGACCTTCTCAACAAAGCTTGCAGGCGAACTCCGAATTCAACACACAGTGTACACATGTTATCCATTTACCAGTGAGTGCTGCTCTGTCAATACAGCGTGACTGAACAACGGCAGTCTCCGTTGTTCAGGGGAGAGGACTGCATGATTACACCAACACAGTAACACCGGTACACTGTGATGATATTTTCTGGACAAGACACTTTAGGCCCACTTATCACACAGCCGCTTAGCATATAAGACTTTTGCTAAGCATTTATAACAGCTGTGACCATGGATAATGCTGCACATCATGTAGATGTTGATGTTGAGTCACTGCACTATTCACCCCTGTAATTTTTCAAGACCCCCCTCCCTATCCTCAACACAGGCATATTAAGAGACTGTTGCAACAGCAACATACAGGTATGGCTTGTGTGTGATGCTGCACTTTTATATATAGCCTTTCTTGGGGGAGGGGTTCTGAAACAACGTCACGGGGGTGTCAGTCCACAATGCCAAAACCTCTTATTCTTTATAAGTGTTTGATCTTACTGCAAATCTCTCAATTTAGTTAATTGTTTATACTTTTTTTTACAAATGAGATTTTTTACATGCTAAGAACACTTTTCCAGGTGAATTCCATCAGGGTAAATCAATCAGCAAAACCTTGATTTCAACATGAAAACAGTAAGCAACCCTCAACTATACAGGCAGATGTAGTTTTAAAATCATCTGAGGTAACTGTAATGTACATGTAGTGTGCAAAATAGTAGTGTTTAATTGGCAGTCCCTGTTCCATAAATTCTACATGATTCAACAGCAGCTCAAATCTACATATATACAAAACAGAATGCTTAAATTTTGAAATGTAATTACAATGCATGTGGAAATGACCACACTTTCTAGAAAACAACCTACAAGCACCTATGTACATGTACTATACTTGACCATTCCAAGTGGTGCACTAACAACATACCGTTTGTAACTCAATGCAACCTACCATGAAATCATTTACTTTAATGCACATGTACAACAAAATATATGCACACCACAGGCAGTTATTCACTCCCATATTGCACGTAATTCTTTTCATGGAGGATATTTTTGGTTAAAAATAAACACCAATATCCTGCTCTACTAACAATAGTACGAACTTTTCCAATGGCTTGATCATTCCAAAGCGAGACGGAACTGGGGATCGACCAATGAAAGAAACGACCTTTGAACCCTAGGATTTAGGGATTTCTTTTGTATTTTTATCAAGTGGATTTATCAGGGCATTTCAAGCAAATGGGTCTGGATATTATGCATGTAAAGCCAAAAAGATGGAAAGCAGTGAACTTCAAACACTAGGGGTCAGAGAGGATAGAGCAGGATAAACAAGTTACACGGCCATGCAGTTAGTATGTTTTTGTAGTGAGTTGTTACAAAGCATTAAGCACCAAACCAGCAATATTATAATACCTTCAACATAAGCACAATTTTATGGAGCTGTAAAGTAAAATACACTTCAGAAAATTCACGTTCCAACCAAAGAAATCAACTTCAGGACCACGTGAGACACTGTAATAACAGGTGAGACACTATACTAGCCAGTAATCTTTTCTCCCACAATGCAACAATTGTTTGCACTCATCCAACTGGTGAAATTTACAGCTCCCGGAAAAACTGACCTAGGGCTGTAACATGTTACAACCAATCACACAAAATATAATTCACGACAGAAAATTGAGAGCTAATCTAAGGCAACTGGAGGCAAGCTATGAGTAGCCCAAAGTACAAGTTCATTGACCCCCAAAATTCTTTGGACGCAATAATTCTTTGAGGTACGGAAGAGAGCAGACAGACTTTAACTTGATTAAATCCCCAAGCTAAGATTACAGTCAGATTCACCACAAGACATTTTGACATCTGACAACTGGGAGACAGCCTGCCTGCTGTGTCCTGCTTTTTTAACCTTGAGCCTTGACAATGTTCCCTGGTAGCTGTGGTGTATTAAATCTCACCTTCGTCTTTCTTACTCCCATTAACTGTTGCTGCTTTAAAGTTCAACACCATGACAGTGATATTATCGAGGGATCCCCGGTAGTAGGCCTGAAGGACGATACTCTTGGCCCCAAAGTGGGGTTCATCTAATCGCTCCTTCACATACATCACGGCCTCCTCATTGCTGAATGCATCCCACAGTCCGTCCGTGGCCAGGATGAGGAACTGTGGCTTGAGTTCTGAAAGGTCAAAGGTCTGAATGTCGGGGTCTGCCACCACAAACTTGCGATCTTTGAGTGGGTAGTCGCCGATGGCACGGGAAGTGGCCAGGATTCCCGCGACTCGCCAGACGCCGTTGAAGGTGATGAAGCCCCCAGCTTTCTTGATGCGTTTGCGCTCCTGGGGAAGGTGGGGCTTGTGGTCAAATGAGAGGGGTACAGTCCTGCCCTCGTGGTCGCACATGACACCCCGTGAGTCTCCCACATTGGCTACGGTGAGCTCATTTCCAGACAGCAGTGCCACAAGAGCAGTTGTACCTGCAACAAGCACAAAAAAACAACAAAAATACACAAATTTCTAACTAGATACATACAAGTTTGTATACCAGTATGAACAAGGTAGAAGACAACCTAGAATTTTTCGTGTCACAATATAGTTGAGTTATAAATTTCCAAATACCCCTCAAAAATCTCCAAGATCATGTTCACATTATCATCATCACCACTGTGTAAAGCAGAGAGACTTTCAGGTATTAGTACATGTATGTTTATTCAGATTCAACGGTACATATGCCTGAGGCATATGACCAGATTCAAAATGTGAAGGGTTATGTTGACATATGGAAGCTGCTTCCTGTCTTCCGGCATCCCCATAAAAGTACAACACCATGGTGTTATCCACTATTGCATTGTAATTTGACTCATGAATTGAGCAAATATCAAAGGTATTAATGACGTTTGCTTCCTGAAGTGTAGAATCACAATTGGAACAAACAATTGACATGCCACAGATGTGCGTACAAGCAGCTTACAGGAGACGATCTCCTTGACAACTAAAAGCAATTCCCTGCAGAATTTTTGAAAATTAAATGTGCATGCAGAAGAGATATTTTAAAAAGAAATGAAAATCAAATTAAGGTTGGCACACAATACACACTGGCTAAGGCTAATGAAAGATTTACTTGGCACACTGTGGCAATATTTTACTAGCTCCATGTACTTGCATAAATTATATTATATTGTCCGGCTAGAACCAAAGATCCCATAGCGCCGAAGGCGTAAGAGGGATAACTCTGCCCAAAGGGTGTAATTACCATGGGCGCCATTTGAACAAGCGATACGCCTGCGCAGTTTACGGTAATGCTTAGGTGCAGGCTCACCAGGTGCACGTGCCTGCCACGGCGCCGGCGCCTGTACATTAATGTGCATTGCACAGGGGTATCGCTTGCTCAAATGGCGCCCATGCGATTACAATATTTTACGTGTATTCACAGTGAAGTTCGCCATCTTGCGCCGCTAAGCAGCACTATACAATCTTTGGTTAGAACTGACATTTGCGGATATACATGTAATCAATATAATTCATGAAATGCCAATCCTTATCAACCAGAGGCTATCAGCTGTCATTGTTAATCTCGGGATAAGAATGAAGCAGACACAAGATTATACTTTTTTACATTCAATACCCTTCGCAACAGTTCATGTCAAATCCAGATACGAAAACAATTCTCCAATACAATCATGTACATGTACGTATGTAGGAGCATCCAATTCGTGTACTGTGCCCATCAATGTTTAGTGGAAGCAAAAAAATCCAACACCTTCATACATGAAAGCTGTAAACTGAGTAATTTAATGATGCATTTAATGGCATTTTAATTGGTCAAACTGAAGTGAACTACAGTCATTGTTCCAACTTACCCATTTGTTTGAACAACATTCATGCGTCATCTTGAGGAATTTTCTTTTGAGGGCCTGTATTTACTTTATTATTATTATTTTTTTTTTTTATGACAGTCAATCAGTCAATTTATATGTCTTGATGACCTGTTGAGTGTACTTAAAGAGTTACGAGGCACATGACACCTGCAATAATACAACAGTACATGTAGACGCACATTTCACAATGTTCCTTTCGGCAGTAAAAACTGGAGTCGATTCCGAGCGGAATTGCGATTCTGAGAAGGAATTGATTTCAAAAATGTTGGATTCCTTGAACACTATCAAATGCATTTTTGACCCATGTGCCATAAAACTCATCCGCCAAGCTCAACAGCAAAGGAAACGAGGAAAATCTAATTGGTAAGAGCTGAAGTCTAACCAACAAAACTGGATTTGTACATGTGAATCTATGGCCAATGCATAACTGCATAACATCTTGTCACGTGGTTAATTTGAGATTCCACATTCTGGTCTGTACAATATCCAATTATTTGGTCTTACTGAGTGACACAAATTTACAAACCCATTGAAAATTCACGCCCTGTGTTCATATAAAATGAACCCATGAAATATTATTTGTACCAAAATATGTAAGGGGCAATAAATTTTGTCAAACGTTCATATAGCTGCCTACTACTAGGTCAAAATTACAAATGAAGTTTGGCTCTTTCCAATTTCTGAGAAGGTGCCAACAGTTTCTATTTTTTTAAGGGGGGAGGTGTCAGATTGTCTGCATGTTTTTGCTTTCAGTCAACTTGGGAAAAACGTCGTGAATTTTCCAGTCAATTGATTTTCTGAAGTCATTTCCATTCTAACCACATCTCATGCTGGCTCCAATACAGCTGACTTCCCTGATCATGCGTCACCTTCGCTGGGACGGTATTTCCCTAAAGATTCCCAACAGCAATCTTCGAGCCAACCACCAGATAATGTGGAGATGATGGATTTTTATTCTCAGGACACCACTCAAATCTCTCCCAAATGTCCAAGCGAGTTTTTTTGTAATCTCCATAGGGAACTTTACGGATAATAATTCACAGCATTACAATGTAAATATTATTCTACTACTACCAGTGTCGATAAACTAAACATGCCTTAAAAATCCTACTTTTTGGCAGTAACCTTGTGTAGAATTTTTAGCACACTATTCCGACTTTTAAATTTTGACTTGAATGTGCATTACCGTAGATCTGCATATTTATCTTTCTCGATAAAGAGATGACGAATATTATTGCAGGGTACCTCCCTGGTGCAAGCAGACTTCAAAGAGGCAATCACAGAGTCAAATTATAAGAACTTGTATGCTCTCATCTACAAAGACATGTCAATTTTTACAGGGCAAGGCAACCTTTTTAGACATTAGTTACTGTGCTTGAATTGCAATCATCAAACTGCCCATGTGCATGTGATGACTTGATGATGGTGGATTTGTCTTGCAACAAATATGGTATAAATGTGGCACTGTGTGCTACAGTGTGGGTGGGGTTGTGTGGGTTAGACATGGGGTGGGGAGAGGGGTGGTGTGTGAGCGGGTTGGTTTGTGATTTAAGTTTAATTTCACAAAGGCTAGATAATTTCATATTGACTTTATAAAGAATTTCACTTTAGTTTTTTACAATTTAAAGTTAAGTTCATTCTCTTCCAGACTTTTCAGTTTTGTTGAACAAAATAAAGCAACTGCTTACCCTTGTTAGACTTTTATAAAGTAAACTAAATGAATAGCATGAAGCTTAACAGTACAGCAAGTTTGGTCAGTATTCACACAAACAATGATTTCTTCATTTAAAATTATATTGCTCATGGAAGTAAAAGACAAGTCTAGAAAATTTTGTAAAAAAAGTTTTAAAAGTTCTCTAATTTACCATCTCTAATTAAAAAAGGATTGTTCAACCCCAACCATGCAGAATGTGAACAAATCTGACTGAAGGCTTTGCAAAATTTTGGTAATGATGTTACGTCCTGCATGTATCTATGGCCACAGCTCCAACTAGACTTGGGCAGGTCCCAACTATAGTTGGGTAGGTCCCAACTATAGTTGGGTAGGTCCCAACTAGACTTGGGCAGGTTCCAACTATACGGCCCAAGTATAGTTGGGACCGAGGCCATAGTTGGGGCCAAGCCAAGCCATGCCAAGTTGTAATTGTTACCTGAAGTTTATACATACCTGCAACATCATTATTTGACCGTGCGACTGTCAGGAACTTTTCATCGAGGGACAGGATTTCCTCAATCAAGATCTGAGAGTGGTTGGCCTTGCCATCTTTGAGGAGTGCCTTCAGGACTCTTGCCATCACCGATTGAGAAAGAAGCTTCTCTGTGAAGTCTGCTGCAAACTATTCAAAATATAATGGAACAAAAGGGAAATTGAAACTGTTCATTAAAAAAAAAGAAACTTATTAAATTGGCACTTGAAACTTAAAATAGGACATAGGGCCCTACCAATGGTTAACATCCACAAATAGAACAAATTAATATCATTAAAAAAAGAGTATCATATCTGGACATCTTGACCCTGTTGACACCCTGTGCACAAACCCTAAAAGAGTAGTCTGAAAAATGTTAACATCCATGACGGTATAGTCGCCAGGTCCCTAGTTTAGCCAACTATTATCGAGTCTGGTTTTCACAGTAAGTGGTGAAATAAGGGACCTGGCCACTATATCGTCCTGGACGTTAAAGTGTTTTCAAAGAAAACGTTGCAATATTTTCCCTGCTAAAATATCACTTTCTGATGGCTAATATTACTGCAAGGGAAAACTTAGTGATGTCTGTATATGGAATTCTTACTCTGATGGATCTAGACAGACTTTCTCCACTCAATTAATTTAAAATATTACAATGTTCAATGACAACTGAATCCAAAATGTTCACAAATCTGGACTGCCTTTCAATCTGTCAAATTTTTCCCACTGTAAAGAAGCAATGAGAGAAATTATTACTCAATACAGTAAAATGTTGGAATGCAAACTACAACTTCAACGTATTCATACATACCGCTCCTCCATGGCCATCAAATATTCCATATATTGCCACTCCTGAGTGATTTTGATCATGTACAAAATCATAGCGATCCTCCATCCTTGGCCGTCTGCCTTGGATGGAATACACAGCCACATTGTCCTTCCTCAACTCCCACTGTTTAGGTCCACCATCATTCCCACGGTCTGAGTTCACCGAACCAGCACCGGGAATTCTTCCCGTGATCTGTCCGTTTGGAAGAGCGCTTAGCCGGCTGTTCTGCACGCTGACCCGTGCCCTGTTGAACACGCTCCGTAACTGGTCGCGGTGAAACACGTAACTGTACAGGAACAGCACTGCGACCACGAACGCAACGGTCTCATACTTAAAGACCGTATTACGAATAAGCCGGCTAACCACTGCTAGGAGAGTCATCGCAGAGAATGGGTAAGCTCAGTTCTCCTACTGGAGAAATCTTGCCCTAGAATCGCTTTTTTTCCCCGGGATTTCATCTCCCTATCTACACAAGTTCTGGTGGCGATTCTGCGTTTTTGTTTTGGTACGTGCATATGGTACATGTACATGTATGTGTGCTGTACGTTCGTGTTATAGTTATAGTCTGGTTCTCTCAATTTAATACCAATTATAAATACATACAAACGTCTGGATTTCTGACATGTAAATACCAACCAAACATGCCAACTGTGGTGGCGCTTTTCAAGTATAAATCAAAAGCCAAAAATTGACTGGTCACTAAAAAGTCGCCCATTCTTTTGACTTCTGTCAAAACAAAAAAAAAAAAACAAGCGAATACCTAACCTACAAAGTAACCCACTCACCCAATCCCAAGCCTCTCCCTATACCAAAAAAAGCCAGCTAGCGAACTAACAACAAAACAAGAAGACGATCTTTCGAGGTTTTGTTTCAATGACAAATTCTTAAAATGTTTTTCTTAGGGAAGATAGTTCCTTGTACTTAATTCCCTTATGAGTACCCCCCCCTCATTATTTGGCTGCTCAGTCACGCAAGTTGCCGTGCGTTTTTTTCTTTGTCGAGACGGGGGATACACCACCAGACGTTAATATAATTCTTATTCAAAACTGGGACTTAAGACCAGCAAACACGGGAAGTGCATGTCTGCGATCATTATTAAGAATTCTTATCGGCCAGGTTTTAGTCATTCGCTATATATGATGGATGGCCCCAGCTGAACATTCTAAGCTGCAAGTACCCGAACATTCAAATTCAAATGTGCATCATTCATCCAGCCATTCATGTGACCACTTTGAAGTTGCAGTATTGCAAGCTTTCTGTATTTTGCGGAGTTTCGTGTGTCTGGAATTTTTAGTTTCCACTGTCAAACATCGTGAAAATCAAATAATTTGATTGTTAACGATAACATAAAATCTAACTGAAAAGCAAGAGATGACTCAGCACCGTCTCTCGGTTCCAGTGTTCTGTTCTTGGTGGGGATTACCCAAGCCGGTCCCGATGTAAAGGTCTCATTTTTCCGGGCTGCTTGGATTTCTGGACACTAGCCAAACACTGCCGAGCGACCCAAATTAGACTCGAAGGTTTGCGCAGAAAGTCCCGTTTTGTTTGGGCTGAGTTCCTACATCAGAATGATCATTGCGCGTTCGAATTAAGATCGCCCGAGGCATTTTAGGCCATGTCCAGTTTTGTTCTTCGGGGCATACTTTTGATGATGTGTGCAGGTTTGTTGCCCTTTTGTTCCGGTCGGAGCGGACAGCGCCCCGTACCACCTGCCAACTTGCCGTACTCCTTCCTGAGGTCAGGCATTACCACACCGTAGATTAAATAATTCATTTTAGATGAATACGGGCATTTCACAATAGTGCACCTCCAAGAGTTTGCAACGTGTTGGCCAATCACAATGCGCGAAATTTGTATACACGCACTACTACGGACAAATGATTCTCGTGTTAACTATTCAATTTGCAATACGTTAAAACCACTGCTGATGTTTTTATCGGGTCATAACACACACAGCACTTTATTTCCTTTGTTTGGATAAACTGGAGAAGTGGTTTTAAAATGGGAAAGGCCGCGGAAGTATTTCTTTGAAATCTGATGGGGTTTATTTTTTTATTTTATCTCCGTGAATTTTATTTGTTTGTCTTTCGTTTAAAATAAATTATGGTCTCCATCCGCGGAAAGAAGTATCGAAACGGCGTTCCACGTCGCCATGCCTCGAACGCTACAATAAAGTGATCGGGTGCGCATGCGCCAATTCTCAACTAGTGGCGCCCAAAGCCATTTGGGAGTGAACCCACGTGAACAAGATTCGGTACCTTGGGTATTTAAAAGAAAACCTCCAGCCTATTACGGAGAACATAATTGCTAACAAAGGGAAAATGGCAAAAGCAGTTGTAACGACATGATCAAAGTTGTGTTTAGGCTGGGGCACGACCTCCATGGTTGGGGCTAGACTTGGTATTTGGTTTTTTTTGGTGTGTTTTTTTTTGTTCGTGATCTACGCGGGTATACAAGTCATGTAGGCCTATATCTTTCGCGACGACGTCGTTAACGTCGTCACCTATGCCGAGATGATAAAATCTATCCAACCCTATCAGTCCGATTCCCAGTTAGATAAGTCGAAACTAACAGCTAATAGTGTTACTTAATATAGGCCTATACCAAAGCAGCGCCAGTGGATTTCGCCTGAAATTCACACTTAAGACAAAACGCAAGAACCTAGCGACTTCTCAGTTTGTCGTCAAATCTAGGTTGCAGTAAGTGTACGTAGGACCCATTCTCCGGTCAAAATGATATAGAGACCAGTGTCCATCTTACCCCGAGGATGTTCATGTGAAAACACACTGATTCAGGATTGAGACAAAATGGAAGCTGTTGTGAAATATTAGCCCCCCCCCGTCGTTATATTGAAGGTAGACATTATGCCCTTGTTGTCAGCTTCTGGATTAATGCTGACGTCAACCTTGCTGAAGGGAATTTACAAGTCGCGGCCGTACCCGATGAGAACGCACAAATCCGGGTCTCCAGGAAGTATCAGTTTATTATCAGTAATATGTACACATGCAGTCAAGTAAAATGGGTCGCACATCGACCTCATTGTAAAACCGCAGCCCAAGTGCTAGGCCTATGTAAGTTGGATCATAGTTGGATACAAGTTTTTCACCTCCATAATTTAACAGCTAAATAGGTACACATCGTTGTATCCCAAAGCCGAAAAGGGGTATGTATTCCATTCCTCTGACGTAATTATCCTTGCATGTTAGCTCTGGTTCCAGAAATGCGATAAAGCTGTCAAAGATATTTTGGTCTTTAAACTATGGACATCTTTTTCATTCCTTTAAAATTATTTTTTTTTTCAGAAAAAAATGCACGTTTTTAGTTTTTCAAAACTTTTCATTTATCATCTTTGTTTTTTCCCCTTTGGAACAAAGCCTGGAAATAAGGAATTTAAACATCACAGTTGATGTTATTTTTGGAAAATGATGCTGAAATCATGTCAGTTTCGGTCTCGGAAAAAAAAAGGAGCTTCGAGTATCCGGCGATAAAGGTCTGGCGCGTGTTTGAGATATTAAAGAATAGGCCTATCAGTATGTTGTGTATAACCGTTTTACCATTTTAATGAGCAGAAGAACCTCTGCAGTCCATAGTACCTATTGTAACGGAAAACCTCACCAGGAAAATGAACGCTGTTGTCATCGAGAAATATGGTGGGCCCGAGGTTCTACAGTTCAGCTCCGACGTGGAAGTGCCGACGCCCGATGCGAATCAGGTAAGCGACATTGCAAAATGGTTACAGTGGATCAAAAAGAAGATTTAAAAACAAAATGAAATGTCTTTCTGTTGCAGGAATGAGCGACTTCTCAAAATATAGGCCTAATGACGCACGTCTTTAATTTCCTGCGTTCCGTACTGCACTGCTTTTAAGCCAACTTTTGTGGGTCACGATTTTCAGACTCGTGAGAGGAATTTTGGCATTTCCGGGGCACAAAAAATCGTTCCCTAGTGTAAAGGTTGTGGTGCCCTGCGCCGAGTTATTTCATACTGAAAAAGTAGGCTAAAACTTGCATTTTGCAAGGAAGTTTGTAGAGGTGTCACCCAAAAATAAATAAAGAAGGAAAGAAGAAAAATAGGAAGGATGAAGAAAAATCGGGGTCATTTGCCTGAAATTGCACCACAGAGCGCCTAGAATAAAAAAAATGCCCGGACCCCACGCCGTAAGGGCTCCGTGCTACGTGTTCGCGGGCATTAACCATTGCGACTTTTGTTCAAGGTTTTGGTAAGGATGAAAGCTGCTGGGATCAATTCTGCCGACTCCAGGATCAGAGAGGGCAACTACCTTCAAAAGATGTTCAAACCTGGAGAAATATTAGGAGTCGACGGCGCCGGCATCGTAGAAACAGTGGGCGATGGAGTAACAAACTTTAAGGTAACGCAACAAAAATTCTGCATATTTTTATGATCTTTGTACAAGGTGTCTAACCTCAGCCCCCATCCTAACCTCCCATTCTTTTTGAAACAATGAAATACAAATCCAATTCCATTTTCCTGCGCATTAAAAATGTTGCTCTCCTTAGAATGAAACGATTATGTGAAGTTCACCACCAAGTGCCCAACTTCCCCGTCTAAAAGTACCATAAATTCCAGTGACTTTTGGTCGTGTATTTCTCTTTCACTACAGCCTGGTGACAGAGTCTATTTACTGCTGGGCAAAACTGGAACCTATGCTCAGTACGTTCTGGCGAACGAAAATAATGTTTACCTGCTGCACGATAAACTAAGCTTCAAAGAAGGCGCTGTGATGGCAGTTCCTTACTTCACTGCCTATCGAGCACTGGTCCAAAGGTGAGACGGGGGAAATGTCCACTTGTTTTCAATAATTTGAATTTGTTTAACTTGTGTAATACGCACACCATGCAATTAAAACCTTCCACACTGTGAGTTTCAGTGTCCTTATATATAGATTTCTCCCACAATTAGAGCCAAGCTTGAAAAGGGAGAAACTGTCTTAATCCAAGGAGCCAGTGGTCAGGTATGTACGAGTAAATCTTGCATTTGTTAATTGGTTTGACAAAATTGATAATTTCTTTCCGCACTAAACCCAATTTTCAGTAATGTCTAGTGCTATTCCTATATTCCTATTCCTATGACCGTCAACATCCAGTTTTCTGGATATCTCCGTAGGTGGGTCTGGCATGCCTCCAGATTGCCCGCTGGTTGGGGGCTGGTTACATCGTGGGTACGGCGGGGACGCCCGAAGGGCGAAATCTTGCCCTGAAGATGAGGGCAGATGCTGCCATTGACTACCGTGCGGAAGACTTCCAGGATAAGTTGAAGGTAATTAACATAGCAAGGAAATCAAGGAAAGACACCTTTGTCAGATCGCTGTTGAGCACAGTGTGAGGGTAAATAAATAAATTAATTAACAAATAAAAACTGCCCAGCACCGTTGTGGCAACAAGTTTTGCTGCAATACTGAATACATGATTCTAATTTGATTTCATTTTCCTTTAAATTTGAGTTCCTTTGTTGTTAAATTACTTAGGTATGATTATTTGATGCATATTTCAGGAGGCATTTTCGGACAAGGATATCGATGTCATCATTGAGATGAACAGTGACATCAATTTGGAGCTGGATATAGAAGTCATTGGACACGGTGGTCGTATCGTGGTATGTCCATATCTGAACTGTGAAATCATGTTTCTGTGTCATGGTACCACTGGCACATGCACCCGTAGCCCCCCCTCATAGTTATGCCATTATTTGTGCGCCGTTCAGATGCTTTTAATGCTCTGTTTCATCAGGTTGTTGGCAAGAGAGGGGAAACAACGTGTAACCCTGGAAAACTAATCACTACGGAAGCATCGGTAATGGGAAGTGGTCTCAAACAATCCACAGAGGTAGGTAGACACCAAATAGCAGGTGAAATTACAGGGAAAAGAAAATAGGGCAGGTATCTCCCTAATCAAATCTGACAAAAAGGGACAAAAGCGGGAGAGGCCAACACTCCTTGCAAGATCCAATTTTGGGTATGATTTCCCCACTCAAATAATCCTGGATCGGCTCCCGGAACTCCCAATCTCATATGGAAAGTCATCCAGTCTTTTCCAGTCATGTTGATGTTCATCTTCTGTTGCTTGTGACGCAACTTGCATATCAACATTTATGTTAGACCATTTTACAATGCTGCCAACATCCACTTCTTGCCTATGAAGACCCCAAATTTCCAACTCACAGTACCTATACCAAAAGTTCATCTATGATCAATAGTTCACAGTCGCTTGACTGCACATCCTTCTGATCCAATGCAGTCCCAGCGAATTGCCATAGCAACGGCTCTTTACGAGGCAGCTGGAGAGGGCTGGGTGCGTCCACACGTTAACAAGGAGTACACTCTTGACGAAGCCGAAAAGGCACACACGGAGATGGAGAGTCGGAGGGGTGGAGTCGGAAAGAGCATCTTCATCTTGTAACAAGTTACTAGCAGCAAATCTGAAGTTGTCAAATCTTGATACTAAGCTGAAATACTTCATAGGCTTACTGGTGGCTTAGTTTTGAGCCATTAACAATGCTTGAAATAAGACTAATGACAGGCTTTTCGTCGACACGTGTACTATGCTTACTCAGGATGCAGAAATGCAAAATTGTGTGATGAAGACAGCATAGGGGTTAGAGATGGTATTTGGGCTGGAGATCCCGCATCTATTGGAAATTACGTCTTTCTGGTTTCCATTTGAATTGGATGCACAGGGTGTAAGATTCAAATACATTTGATACATCAAAGCTCTAACTGCCTTTGACATATTAAAGGATTTCACATCAAAATTGTTAAAATATTCTTATACATTTTATTTTGGGAAAAAGTGATGTCACTCAGGAAAACTTATTCATTTCTCCCAATTGTTCAAGGACAGTAATTGTAATCATTACAAATCGAATAATGCTTGGATTACATTATCTCAAAGTAGATCTACAAACACCTTGTTCCTTTAAAACTCCAAAACTGTGCAAATTACAAACAAAAACAACCAATCAAAAGCTCCTGTGAACATATTACAAAAAGCATTCTAACCATTCTAGCATTGAAGTGTATATTGCAGTTTCAGAGATAGATAAAAATATGAACTATTTTACATATTGGTATTATATTACAGTATGTTGCAAAGTTGGACTGCTTAGCTACTCTGTTTGCTTAAACTAGTTACTCTTTAGGTCTCCAGATTTGTCAAAGTATGGACTAAAATTCAACAAAACCAAGCAAACAGTGCCCTGTGACTGCCCTCTGGAATTCAGCACTGCAAAGAAAATGTACATGATCAACTGAAATCTTTCCTGAAGTAATTCAATTAAAGCTGTAATTCTCTGTGACGTCCTTCTTTATGTTGTATTCATCCCCTGTGCTTGTCTTGGAACTCAAACTTCCCCCTCCAACCACACCTTTCCCTCCACTCACTGACCCTGCTGGTGTACCTTTGACCCCTGGCCCTTTATTAACACCCTTGAGCACTAAGATGGTATCCTGCCCCTTTGACCCCTGAGCCTTAGTGGTTGCACCAGGTTGGCTCTTACCACCCTGACCTTTGACACTTAAGCTTGTTTGACCTTTGATGGGCTTTTGACCTCCTGACCTGCCAGCTGAGCCATTCAGGTTCCACTTTCCTGTTGTCATGACATTGGCAGCTGCAGTGTTGTCGGATGGACGTGCATGGTTTGCATTGGTCCCAGAGCCTGCTGCACCAGTAGTTGTCTTACTTATCGGACTTGGGCTCCGACTGCTACGTCCTGCAATGATGTGCAAAGACAAACCATTTCTATCCCATGGACGTGCTTATGAAGTACCTGAGCATAGCATTCAAAGTGTTATGGGAAGCATTTTAAGTACTCCGATGTATATTCTCAACACTACTTGACCACTCTTAACTTGGCATACATCGCATGAGATTGAAAAAGTCCCCATGCATCTGGCAGATTCTCAGAATGTTACAAAAAATGAAGCTGCATAATTTTAGGGACTTCAGACATCAGACATAGGCCGCACCTAACTAGGATAAACTGACAAATCAATGGAAAAATCTTAGTCCCAAATGAGCTAATGTGGTATTCAGCGTACCTCCTATTCGGATGCACTCTTCCTTGTGCCGAGCATTCCACGCCTTGATCTTACAGGCTTTGCTACAGTAGTATACCTCCTTGCATCGGGTGCAGGCCGACAGCCGCACGCCTAAACAGCGTCCACACTCATAACAATATTTGAATAGAGGCTTCCTGTGAGTAAGGGGGAAATGAGACAGTGAGACTTGACGAAAGACAATCATTCTCTGTACCACATTCAACCGTTTCCTACAGCATGGCCAACTTGTCACTACTATTCAACGTCTCTCACCTGCACTCACTACAATGCTGCTACATGAATTTCAATAATGTAAAATATACTAGTGAACACTACTAATATAAAAGTGAACAAATATACTCAAAACTAACAAATTGAAATGTTTACTCTATTTAACAAAACTATTCGTCTACTTGTACTCTAAAATAACTTTGTGACTTTAACCCTGATGGTTCAGGAATTGATCCCACCCCCATGAAACAATTTCACTCATGTCCAGAGTCATCAATTTCATTTCAGCATCCACTCCCTCAGGTTTTACAACCAGCTAGGCATATCTGAAGATGTACACTGCAAGCAACTGCACACTTGCTGTTTACATGGAGTCTAGGTCTCTCTCAAATAACGTCACTTCCTGAAGATTACTATGTGCATCGGCATTTTTTACTTCAATTTTCGCGACGCACATCAGCGGTGCTGTATTTCAAACATATCTGGATCAGTACACTCGCGAGTCTCAAACATTTTGCACACTGCACGCACCTGTTCGTGTTATACACGCAGTTGCAATGTGTCCAATGAGAAAGAGTTATTGTGCCACACCTGAACTTAAGTGCTGCAAATCGAACGTCCTGCCTAGCAAAGCTACAATGTGGCTGAGATTTTCTATGTATACTTGTGCGAAACCAATGTCTAGAGTCCACTGCTGCAAACATGAAACAAAAAATACTAAACTAAACCTAATTTTGTTTAGTGAATTCTACGTCTAGACAAAGAATATGGCACATCTATTCTGATTTAAATTAAATGTGTTTTTTTTTGACAAACGCACAGCTTTATTGGGGGATTTTTCTAAAGGCAATATTTGTCAAAGACCAAAACACATATTTTGCTTCTCGCCTTGAGCAAGAGTTGTAGTCAAGTACTTTTTGAGTGCCAAGTTCATTGTCAAATATTGGAATAGTTAGGAGAGAACAGAAGCTCCAGAACATGGGCAATGGAAGGTAAAGGCACAAAGGTAAGATTGAAAAGTGAAATGGCTTCATACCATCACTGTGTAAAGAAAATAAAGTTTTCATGATTAAAAAATTCTCATAATGTACTCAATCTAGCACTTTTGAAGTATTTTTTCCTTAAACCTTATTTCTTCACAAAACATGCAGTGTCTGAAGTTTGAAATTTATTTAGTCCATTGTTTTCTATCTTTGTTCCCTCCAAATCAGTTAAATACAGGCGGTGAATTTGACACTCAGACAATACATGACTTGACTACTTTCAGAAATAAGGGGTCCATTTTTTTTGGTGCCCCTGTCACATCTGACATATTATTTTATAAGTTCAGAACACATTTTCTAATTCCCAAGAGTGAAGAATGAATGCAAACTACCCGTCAAACAAATAGTAATTTGTTGAAATCAATTCTGGTGATATTTCCATATCAAATAACAAAGGCCAGATGTAACATGTCACACTTTTGGATCCCTGATTTCTGGAATGATCCCTACGCAACACTGCCTTGACCAGGTGACTTCAAACAATGTCTGTGCTGCATATTGACAAAAAAACACTGCATGTTACTGTGATAACTACACTCCAATTGTGCTGCAGTGGAGACAAAAACTGGCATTTGAATACTCTGTAATGAATGCTCTTGGTTAAAAAACACTTAACAAATTAATGCAAAATCACTATTAAATACTGTAACAAATGTACACAAAAGTTCACATAAACATGACAGGAATGGTATTGATTGCATAATGTTGTTGGCAGATCACACAGCGTGCATTGTGCGCTATGGCGAGGGGTGTAAAATTGAAGTGGTGTTTCATATCACCTGGCATGCGTTCTTTCACCTCTCCAATGATGTCTAACATCGGAAAGTTAATGGAATTAGAGAATGAATGGAAAAGATACAATCAAGCATGAGCTACCAGGCTGTTAATGATAGCAACTGTTTTACAGGAAGATGGAGTCACGTGTGAGATGTTCAGTAAACTAGACATGGCATTACTAACTCTGGCAAAACAGGTTAAATACATCAATTGGTACCAGAGTAAATCTCAACAAGACTTGAAGTCTGGGTATAAATTTCAAACACTTAACAGAAGGCATGTTTGCGCAAAGCTTGCTGCAAACGTTGAACACAAATTGTAGTTTGATCACCGTATTCAGTTTTCATATACTCTCTATATCATTAGACTCAATGCCTTTACAGAACATCCAAATCACAGTTGACGTGTACTTGGTTTTGTATTTACTTCACACTTGATGTTGGTGGCTCTCATTCAACAAGTCCTGGCGATGGTAAGGTCTAAATAAGAGGTCTACGTTTAAAAAGGGAAATTCAAACCGAATCTATGTGACTACGGTTCACACACAGGTGCAGATTAGCTCCACTCCATGCAGCGAAAAGCCAAAAGATAAAAAATATATTGTTCAGAACCCAACCTGTGGCGTAACTTCTTCGTCTGTAAAAGCCGTTTGACGGCCTGCGTGTTGAAGCCCTTTACATCAACTGTTAGAACAGTGGTGTCACTGTTTCCATGGAGGAAAGACACAAAGGTGCGGGTGGTGTGATAAGACGGTGGACGCAAGGGTGGGCAGAGGGCCAGGTTCAACCAGTGTGGCCACAGAGCATTGATATTTGGGGTATCATGCAGGTAGAAAGTGTGTTTGAAAATGGAAAATGTGGAAAAACGGAGGAATAATACGTTATATGGCTAGGCAGGCTAAAACAAAAGGAGGATTTGTTTTGAGTGCAAACCCTGGCAAGCTGCTACAAGTCTGGTCTTATTCTTTCTGACAGAATGACCCAGGGGAAATCCTAACACCGTGACTTGAAATTAAAGTTATCCACTGATCAATTAAGCAAACACACAGTGCTGAAAATTCTTTGCAGGAATGTAAATCAGATTAATTTTGGATACGCTGTAGGAATTTTAACTCCAGCAAGTACCCCTTAGTTAAAAACATCTTTGTTCTTTTCAAGTATTGACAAAAGGTCTATAACAACATCATAAAGCCTGAAAAATTTAGTACCTACTGGGTGTAAAATGAGGAAATACAATAAAAATCAGGCTTCAGAAATGTGTAAGTCCTAGTCCTTCAAAATCAAACAGACAAAAACTGGGTACACTTTTGGATATGAAAATAAGCCCCCCAAAATCCCCAAAAAGTAGAGCTAGATGGTCATTAGGAGAAGGATGGTCTCACTGTGGTCGAAACTTGGGAAAGAAAGAGGGAGGGGCAAGGCCAATAAAAGGGGGGCATCATCTCCAAAACTCTCTGACCACACATTATGGGGGGAAAAAACAATCTGATTTCTTTCTTTCTTCTCGGCATTTTGGGTGAAAAGCACACTTTCAAAGGGGCTGGTTTACCTGCGGATTTGCCTCCTGGAAATGCGAAGCATGCAAGCGGTAACAAGAAAGAGATTAAAAAGCCAAGAGAAATGTTAGTGCATGAGGATGAATGTTACTGGTAAGGCAGCCCACAAACCAGATAGATTCTTCTGAATTCAAAACAAGAAAACAAACCAAACGAGGCTGGAAAGTTAACTTTTCAATTTAGGTCTATTATGCAAACAGATTTTGTAAGAATTCATTCTGTGGAAAATGAAAACTTTTGGAATGATGCGTGAAAATTGAATTTCAAATACTTAACCAATCTTTACTACCATATTGAAATTCAAATGTCTTTTAATGTCCCAAGGAGACAATTTTAGTCCACAGTATTTCATGCAGTAAATATATGCTGCCGTTCTCTAGTCCAAATTTTTCTTTTCGATTTCCGAGATGGGCTTGGTTTTTCAAGACCCTGTCACATACTTGGCTGGAAAACAGATCGCTTATTATGTTATTACAGAGAAGCTTTAAGTGAACTAACAAATCATAGCAGAGACTATACACAATGAGGGTCACATTCCTCGTGGACCCCCTTCAATTCTCGGAGATATCTGAACTGACCTGACTGTACCATTGTCATCCTTGTCCACTAGGGGTTGCTCTAACCCTAAGCTGTCCTTAGTGATTGACCTGAAGGCCACCTGTTTGCCGCCCTCTCCGCCCTCAGCACTCCTCGGGGTGGGGCTCTCACCCCTAGCCCCTTGCCTGAGAGTTTTGGGTCGGCTGGTGCCCTCCTGCTGGGGTTTGGCACCGGCACCAGTGTACAGAAAGCCTTGACTAGGGCTTGTACCTGTGATAAAACAAAAATTAGGATCCTTCTAAACGATGGCAATTAAGGACAGATGGATATCATTTGCAAAAAAAGCTATAACACAAACGTAAGATCAATGCATACAAGGAAGCATTCAAACAAGATATTTAGAAACCCTGACAAAGTTTAAGGTTGAGTGCTGATCCAATTCTAAGCGTTCTCTTATGGCAAGATCATTGGCCAGGAACAAGAGTCAGCAACGCCAGTCTCAAGCAACTTACTCCTGACTCCACCTAATTCTTCCATCTCCAGTCTCTCTCGCTCTCTCCTGACGGCCGCTTCTCGCAGTATGTCCCCCAGGTGAGCTAGGAGCTTGCGTCTAGCATTGTAAGTGTCTCGTTCTGAGTGCGTCAGGGCATGATAAGGCATGTGTGCTATGCGACGATCCTAGGAGATGGAGATAACAGGATGAATCAACAGTGATTGTCACTGAACGAGCAAAGAGAATGAGCAAAGCCAGTGTCAAGGTGAACAAGCGTTGCTTAGCAGCACACCAACCAATCACAACCAACATAACTAACAGGTATCAACAAACTGCTAACCTGATTGAACATCCAGTAAGCATAATCCACGGCTGTTCCCATCACTTTTTTCCCTCCCACCTGTATGGGTGCTAAGATATTGGCTCCTGCCTTCACCAGCTTATCAATCTGCAGGGAGACAAACAGCAAAGTAACTCATCAGTGGGTCACAATTTGAAAAGAAAGCAGTACAAAAAAAATCCTGCCTTTGTACACACAAAGAATAGAATATATTTGCTGACTTACCAGGGCTATCCGCTGTTGTGGTGTTCTTCTGAACTCGTAGGCCGTGTTGGCTGAAACGCACAAGGCACTGCCAATGCCAGTACCAAGAGGAAGACTTGGGTTTGCATCGTAGGATAACAGCTCATCAATAGCCTGTGAAGAAAGCACACAACACAAAATTTAAAAACAAAACTAAAAAATTTCGATTCGAAAGTTGAAATGGGCCAAAAGCAGTGAGGGTCTCTTTTGGAACAAAGATACAAATATGAGAAATGATTTGGGACATCCCACCAGATCGTTGCCGCTGGCGATGGCCAATGAGAGTGGTGACTGCCCGCAGCAAAGCACATTGGGATTGGCGCCGTGCTCCAATAGAAGATGAACAACTTGTCTTGCAAGCTGAAAGTAATAAGAAGACATATTGTATTTATTCCATTAATAATAACAACACAATTGATTATGACGACAGACCATTCATTTCCCTTCAGGGGTGAATGGAGTGAATTCTATTTTCTGATTTAAGAAGGCTGTTGTGGTGAAACAGGATCAACGGCTAGAAGGCCAAAAGTGATTCTCTCTCTAATAGCAGTTTATTTCACTGACCTCATCGTTGTCATCTCTGTCGCAGGCAATGTGTAATGGGGTCCGTCCACCCTTGTGCTCACCCCTCTCTTCTAGTTCATGCAGAAGGACTGATACACTCTCATCCAGACCTGGTCGTATCTTTACTGGATTAGCACTACCAGGCAAGATGTCCTGATGACAAGGGAGAACCTCTAATTAATACTTACTTGTGCTTTTGAAAAGCGGCTTCAACATTTAATTTTCAAGTGAACGGAAAAATACAGGAAATATTAAGAAACTTTTCAGAATGAATTTCATCTGAGATGTATAATTTCTGCAGGGGTGTGAGGTTCCCATACTTTTGTACAGACCAGGTGTACAAAAAAGCTGAAATTCTGGGTCAATATCTAAACAAAAATAGCTGATATCAGCTAAAAAGCTGAATTCTCACACCCCTGTTTCTGGTAAACTCTAAACTGACCTCTTCGTGTTCTAAGTCATTGTCTTGGGAACGAACATTCGGATGAGCACCTGCTCCCAGGAGTAGTCTGGTGATCTGTACTCCATCTTCCCCACGGATTGCACTGGCTATGTGCAAGGGTGCCAGACCCTCTTTCTGCAAGGGAAATCACGAGGCAAACAAAGTCATTGGAGACATTTCATCTTCTCTCAGCATCATAAAAGGTTTATATACGGACAAAGGATGCAAGTCTTGACGAACCTTGTGGGACAGTCTAATATCAGTATATGCACCCTTCTCCAGTAAGGCCTGTACTGCGTTGACATCAGCAGCCTTGATGGCAAAGAAGATGACTGGCATGGGCACCGAGGATGCATTAGGGTCTGCGCCGCGCTTCAGCAAAAGACGGATTGTGGCTTCCATGTTCGCATGCCTAGGGAACGAGAGAGCAATACAGAACGCTGATACTGAACACCCAGTTCCATGCTAATGGACACTCTGTCCAATGCTACAAGATCACCACCTATGAGCTCACCAACTGCAGGGGCGGACCTGTGCTATTTACAGTAACCCCTAAACAGAAACCTACTACATGTACGGGCTACAGGAAAAGACACAAAATTGGGCAAGGCTCCAAAACCTTATTCAAAAGTGGGAATGATGACATTTCTCACAACCGAGTTGGGTTCCAATCCAGATACCCCACAATTTAGGAAACATCACTTTGAAAATGCTGCATTTGCAAAACAAAAACAGAGTCTGAGTGAACATTTTAAACTTGGGAAGGCTCTTGTACTCTAGGCAGTGATCTCTCTACAAATGTTCCTGGCTCTGTGTTGTACTTACTCTGCCTTCATGATGGCTCTGAGCCGAGCCTGGTCCATGTTGGGCTCACTACAACTGGAGTCTCTTCCACTGACAATCCGTCTGTTATGACTCAATACAGTGGCACTCCTCTCCACCAGATCCTCGGTGACTTCAATCCCATAATTCACCACTGTGGTGTCTGACTCAAAGTCGCGGGGCACTGTGCTCGGTATCCGGTCCTCCTCAGCTCTGGTGCCAAGGTCCCCCTCCTGGTTGTCACCGGTCGGTGCTTCAAACGGCCCTCTGTCATCCAGACCCTCATCCTCGACTTCATCCTCATCGTCATGGTCACCATCATCTATCTCTTCATCATCATCTTCGCACTCTTCAGAAGGCTCAATTCTGGTTTTGGTCTTGAGACTAGCCACAGAATGAGAGTCTCCACCCTTACTTGAATAGGCACTCCCGCTTCTCTCACTCATAGCCGGTTTGATTGGGCAGAGAGTCAGGCTATGGATTGCTTCATTTTCAGGAAAGGGGAGGTAACGTTCGGCGATGTTATACTGGAAAGATGTGGTAGGGTAGAAGAGCATATGGCAAGCGACTAGTGCAGACAAACCCTCGTCATTCAGCTGGTTGACATTGGCACCATTGTCCAATATGGTGTTAATGATGTCAGTGTGCATATTAACCTAAAGGAAACAATAATCATTTTTCCTCAAAACAGAGGAACATACACTGTTAGGCGTTATGATGATTTATTCTACTCACACATGCAGCCCTTCCTTTCAATTTCAAGAAAAACTTTCATTCCATTCGACTTTGATTGATGATTACAATTTATTAGCACTTTTGCTTACCGCAGCACCTAGGAGGGCTGTATGACCCTGCTTATCGGCCACATTAGCACTGCTGGCACCCTGCATGAGGAATGAGTGCACTGTATGCTGATCGCCAGCGGCTGCAGCCTGAAGGAGCTGTTGGGAATTATCCTCGATGGGACCCACCTTTCCATGCTTTCCACGATCACCTTGAAAAAAAAAGATACAGAATTATCAAGAATGAAACTTTTTCAATCCTGGTATTTCAAAGTTTTCAATCATATCTCTGTGACGCCTTCAAAAGGCATCCAGTCTACTGTGGGCCTAAGTGAAGAGTAAATTTAGAAAGTAACTTTGAATTTGAAGATAAGTTAAAAGTGAGGCAAGTTGCAGAATCAGAAAAGATGGAACACTCAGATTTTTTTGCCACAGAGCCAGTGTGTCGGGCTTTAGTACTTACCATGTAAAATTTTCATCACAGAGAAAGACACCTCCTTCTTGCAGGCCCGGTGCTTATAAACATGCCTCTGAATGTTGATGAAAAATGGAGTGTTGTTGAGGGCAATGACCTCTGTTGACCCGTCACCTTCTGGGCAAGAGTTCTGCATGGTAAAAAAAACAAGACTCAAAAAATTATACCAAACCTCAGACCTTTTATCTTTGCCTTGCATATGGCATCACATTTCTTCTGATTAAGTTTTCTGACCTTCTTGAAGAAGGCTTGGTCGTATTCCTCTTTGTCGTACTCCAACGTCAAGAGATCCACACTTTCCTGTCTGCTTGGGAGAAAAGTCTCAAAGTCGGTTGAGAAGGAAGTCCTAGAGAGTCTCTCCATGGTGTCCCGCATGCTGTCGGTGGCATCACCTGATCCATCTGACTGTAAAGACAAGCCGTTCACCAACTACAAAGAAAAGAGGCATGTACAAGAAATTCAATCAATCATCTTCTTTTCTCCTCATTTACTTGCAAGATGAGCTTAGTTAGAGCAAACTCGTAACTCCATCGTGTTGAAGGTGGCAAACCTTGTCTTCCACCACAGTTGACTGCAGTGTGAACCGCGTTCTGTCAACTGTTGTTAGTTTACTAGTCCTTACTAGATCATACACGTGAACCTTTGCAACTGATGTCTTGCATAACTTCAAGTCTTGCATAAATAGTCAAAAAAAAACTTAAAGTGATGCTCCACTAGTTTGTCCAACCTGGGCCGTTCCTTTCTGGTGCATATTAATTGTCATCTGATGCTCGACTGGGTCGTAATCAAACTCCGGATGATCTCGCATGGTGAAGGCATCTCCTATCGGCGTGCAGAGTTTTACCAGTCTCTCTTTGTGCCACAAGCCCACATCCTGGTGGCCGTCAGTGTACGTTAGAACTCCTGGCCCCAGCCTTTCACCGTCTTTGTACAGACCCTAGAAAATATGGTAAAATGTGAACATTGTTCGCTTTTATACTTGTTTGGAGAAACTCACCCAGAGTGTAGTCAACTCTGAATTGTTGTTCAGTATATAATTGATGGGAAAAGTTAAAGAATGGAAATTTCAGTTACTGTCTTAGGTATATTATGCACTCGTTCTCCAGCATGCTTTGGTTCACCTCAAATTTGTTCCCACTGGCAGAAATAAATACTCCGTAGCCTTCTTTAGCATCCTGATAGAAGGTCCCTGTAAATTTGGAGCCGTCTGGCCAGATGTAAGTGCCTTGACCATGCCTGTAATCCTTGAAATAGTCCCCTTTGTAGCTCTGAATGAGAGAGTTGGAAAAATGGAAAGCAAATAAGCCAAGACCGGTATTTCTGAAGTAATGAAAAAAACCAAGAGTGTCAGACGTCATGCAAGAAATCTGGGTGAGAGTCTAGACATAAAAATGACACTGAGTCCATTCCAATCAATACAAAAGTCCAAGGTTTCCATTATAAAACACGCACACAATAACAATTCAATGGAATGCTTTCTTTTCTAAGATCAAGTTCTAAACTGTGGTTTGATATTAAATCTAAAATACTGCATAACGAAGTTTGTCGTCACAAGTCTGTTCTTTACTTTTAGAATGAAGTTAATACTGTCCTGTTTGGTTTTGAAGCAGGAAGGTTAATACTTTACACATCTTTAGGTGGTTAAAAATGAGAGGGAACTGCTGCTAAAGAACAGGCTAGCAATGTAGGCCTACCTCCCCATCTCCCCATGTGTGTTCGCCGTAACCATGCCTCATGTCCCTGACAAAGTGCCCTATGAAGCGGGCACCATCAGCCCAGGTCTGTTCCCCTTTGCCCTGTCGCCGGTTGTCGGCATACTCTCCCGTGTAGCGGTCCCCATTCGGCCACAGGAAGGTGCCGTGGCCGACCCGCTTCATGCCGTCCAGATGACCACTGAAGGTAGCGCCGCTCTTGTAGTCATGGTGGTTGGTGTTGGAGTCCTGGCGCTGGGCAGACTTGAGGCGCGGAAAGACGTAGAACTCAAGCTTGGAAGGCATTATTGCAGAGTCCACTAAAAACTAGCAGACTTATTGTAAATTAGGGCCCTGTTTGACACTGAAAAAAAAAGAAAAAAATACAGAACTAGACCTACTGTACTTTTGGAATTAGATTTAGAAAGCACATTTCTTAGTTTCTAAACTGGACAAACAGCTTTTCCTCACGTCAAAAAATAATGGAACTTGCCTATTATTGGTCTAAACACAGATGTGTTTTTTAATTTTGTGTTTTCTCCTGAACAACTAAGACCCATGACCAGTACAGTGGGTGAGGACCCACTCAGCTAGGAGTAGGGTATCTTTTCCTACCTCCATGGGTATACCATAGAACCGTAATAAACAGGGCCCGATGAATACTCCTCCGTTGTACACTGGACCCTGTCCCGATTCATAGGGATTTCTTTTGAAAAGATTTATCCAGGATATCCGGAGAAATAACTAAACATCCGCTTGATTTTATGAACTGAAATGGCAATGGCTGTAGACTAGTGAGTGTTAGTTTACTCGGAGTCGGACCCGTGCTCGGACCATCCGTCACGTCCATATATGATATAGTATGATATACTACTCGAACTCCTCATCCCATGAATAAGTTACAAGTTAACTAACAACTCATGCGTCTCGTCGGCGTTACTGAAAGACACCAAGCTATAAGTACCTGATACTGCAATACCAGGGCCAGGTTTTCAGTCGTAAAACACTAAAATCCACCCTGAAAAATACATTGAAATCTCAGTCACCCTGGCCCTGCAGCTTCACCGCCATTACTTTTAGTTTACACATTAACAAATTGGACTGAACGATATTTTCAAATGAGGGATTCTCTAAAGACGCAGCAAAATAAAATAAAGTACACCTTGTGACAGGGGACGTGTAGTTGGCACATGCTTGAGGTCTTTCTTTAAAACTAAATACAGTAGTAAAGTGCAACTAGGACAGTTTGGAAATCATTACTTTATATTGAACAGAATTTTTTACATCAAAGTCCACTCCCCCACGTACAAGTGTGTCAGTCTCGCAATTAAGATCGTGGCGTCGAGACCGTTTCCATGGAAGTTTGCTGCCCTCTTGAGTCCATAAAATCTCGTTGTATTGAAAACCCAATTCGACAGACTCGTGTAAAATTGTGAGAAAAAAGAATATAAACTGGGAGTAAAGAACGAAAAGGGATGCAGTTGAGTGCATGGGGCTGCTTTATTAAGCATGACACACATGAAGTGAATGGAGATGGAACTTTGCAATAATCATTTTATTAAAAAGAGCAACTCTGAAGAAGACATGATTTCTCTGATTTTATCTGTTCAAATAAATATGGCAGTAGATTGCGTCATTCGGAGAAAACCGAGAAAGTACGCATGCCACGCAGAAGGATTTATTTAATACCTGCACAGGGTTCCGGTCGTTTTCTCCGAATGACGGAATCTACATTCAGAATTCACATCCAGGCATGAACGGAAGAAAATCCCTTTTTAGCTTGCTATAGTTGAGCTCTGAAGACAAATGGCACTGCTTTCGATTTGGATGCTTCCATGTTTATTTGAACAGATAAAATATTAAATCAGAGGAAACCTATTTTCCTTAGCAGTGCTCTTTAACATTTTAAACTACATGTAATAACGTTCGAGATTGATGCTAAAACTGTTGTATCCCTCGACCAATCTTACTTTACCATGATTTTTCAGTACTAACTGCCGCGGCTCAGTTCAATATTCAGACACTATCCCAAGGAACCTCGTAAACCATTCTCTTCAACAGTGTTTTACACTCAAGTAATAAAGATCAGTACAATACAAAAAGCATTCTAGTGCAATATTTCATTTGTTTTATTGGTTTTAGTGTTCATATTGTCATAAAAATAAACAGAGAAAACAAAGCAAGTTTTCTTCACATGCATGTACATACATGACTATGATTTGCATATTACAGAGTACAGAAAATAACTTTTATATAGTGACTTATTTAAAAAAAAATTGCTTTCTACAAGTTGAGTAGCTCACAAGTTTATACTTCCTTTGGTGGACCTTTAAAACAAGGGAAACTTGGGAGAGAAAATGCATTCCTTGATTTTCCAAATAACGGGTTTCAAATATGCTATACTCGGTGGATTTTATCTATAAAAGTGACTCAAAAATAAAATTCTTTCAGCCTGCCACTCTCAATGATTTTCCTCTTTAGACTTTCAGCACAGACGTTAAAAGGAATTTTAAAAAGGCAAAAACTAATTAGTGCGACTGACACACTAGCACTGCTGTTGGCTAAAAAAAAAAAAGAAATAAATTTCAGAATGGTCAGATAACTTAGATTAAAAGATGGCAGCACTTTGCAGAAATGGTCATCTCAAACGGGTCACGGGGAAATATTCAAGAATGTCAACAAAATCTCTTGACCACAAATGATTTGAAAACAAAAGATTAAACTACCACATTTTTTAACTTAAAATTTCCTTCAAATGCACCGAGAATAAGGTAGCACTGTAGAACAACTTTCATTTTGAATTTGTAGTTAGGCACGTGGTATCATTTAACCCCCAACCCCTTAAATAAGTGGTTCATCTTGAAGTCCTAATAGAAAGCTATAAGTGAACAAAAATAGCCTGATGTGGGGATGTTTAAACACTGACAAAATCGAACACTAAAGTGTGCAAAATACCATCACTATCTCCCAGAATGAATACAAATTTGGATGACAATCAAACAGAACAGTCATCAAGTCACGACAAGTGTATGATTAAAAAATACAAGGAAAAAAGTGACAGAAAAAGGGACAAGAAATGTGCTTTATGTAAGAAGTACTTCACTTTAAAAAGGAACTTTTTCAGAACTCCTTCGTCAATCACACAGAACCGATGATTCCTGATGGAAAAGGGCACACAGCAGGACTCAGGAGACACAATCAAAACTGAGGGAAACAGACTACAATCTCCCCAAGTCAACCAAAATTAAAAAGAACTTTACAAAAATGCCCCCAACTTGCACCCATGTAGAGAATATTTCCATGTTGACTGAATCAATTGAGATTTCTGACGACTTTTCTCAATTTCTGCCTTGCTTGTGACAGAAGCTCACCGCTCACCTAGCATTGCAAAAATGAGTTACAGACTCTTTTCAAACCAAAGTGTAGCAAAGTGAACTGCATAGATAAGTGTGCTGTACACAAAATACATATACTTTATACATAAGCACGAGACAAGTGTAAATACATGTATATGTAGATTTTCTTTGCATATTGATACTAAAAATACAAAAGCTACATAGGAATCCATGCAGAATGTATAAGATATGCTACGCAATTGATTAATACAATTTACACAAGGCTGTGCAAGCAACTGAGTTTTGTATACATGTATATTGCCAGAATTTCAATATGTTTATGTGATATCAGAAGTGTGCAATCGACACTTTTTTGAAACAAATTCCAGGCAGGAATGATTTTTCCAAGCAACATGTCACTTGTGGATTGTTGCAACCCCAGCTCATGCATATCAAATATCAGCTGCCAAAGTTCTGCTGGAAAACTGAGAATCAATTTCTAGGGGCTGACATTTATGCAGGTCATGTTCAACCCACCGGTCACAGACATCCTTACTTGAGGCAAACAAGGGACAGCCAGTTGAAAGTTTGCAATATTTAAGGACAATTCACGGTGGCAAGGTAGCACCAAGATTACAATTAAAGGCCAATCAGACGGATTCTTACTTTGACCACAGGCAACGCATTGAAAAGAACGAATAGACTTTCACACAGAGATAAAGGAACAGGCCTTTATACATTTTCCATAAATTCAAAGGTAACAGAAAGGGACTACAGAAGCCTCCAATTACCAGTTCATGTCCAATATCACTTAAAAAAAAACAAATCAAGTTTTGTTTTGTACAAACATTAGCATTCAAACAGTTTTAAGCAACTGTACACTGTTACAAAACTGCCGTCCAAATTGGAGATACGCATGAAAAGGACACTTAAATAAGGACAGGATTTACGACATAAAAATAGTCATCATTCTGTTCCACATGACAAAATTCTCAGATATACTGCTTAAAGACATCATTATCTGAGACATTCAAATTTACATATTACACAAAACAAGTTATCTGACATTTCACGGAGTGATTGGATATTTGAATGGTATCTTTGAAGATAGTGAAACTTCCATGAAGATTCAAACTATTATCCAGGCAAAGCGAGTCTTTCAACACAGCTTACCAAAAAGGGCAATGGGTAAAAACTCAACAATTTCACTCCACGTACCAATTACCCTAAGTTAGTATGCATGGCAGAATTCTTTTTTGAAACATAAATTTGGAGAAAGCTCCAAGATCTTTTGGATGCCTTCTCTGAAACACAGTGACTGGTACCCTGCCTTTGATGTGCTCTCTGGCAACTCTACAAGAGCAATTATAAGGGCGCTACCTTAGTAACTGAAATTTTGCTAGTTACCAAGGAGATAGATGTAGCAGGAACACCACACAGGACAGAAACAAACACATAAAAAATATACAATTAAATCATATTTAAAACATGACAATAATTACATATATATTGTTGTTTTGAATTTGTACAAGGGTTTATGTGTACAATATCTTACAAGAGTACAAAAACAAATATACAATGTGATAAAGAACTTCACCATCTCTATGCACTGATGAGTTTTTCCTTTTTAAATTACATAAGCAACTTTTTTACTGTACACTTTAAATAAATACTGACCACCGAATTTCAGCAGTTTTTGTCAGGCACTGTTTTAATTTTCCCCAAAATGAAGAAAAACTGAATTCAAAGTGAACAGACTTTTGGAGAGTTGCTGGGGGTTATTCTAAGGGATAGCTGTTGGTCTACATCAGCCAAACACAGTGAGGTATCCTAGGATTACCCGTTTCAAATACATACTTTTCCAAGAAACTTTTACCCCAAATCAACAACTATCCTGTGACACTATGTGCGACAAACCCCTTCTAATGACAACTAACTCAGGAGTAGAAAACGTCTTAAGAATCCAGTACAACATTTCATGTTTATATACAACCCTAAGGAGTGCCCGGTCTAGGCCCTGCTGTCTTTATCATCTGAGTGTGAGATACAGTAGACAGCAGGCCACCAGCATCAGACCCTGACTGGTTCTGGAGGCCGCGTGCCATGACGTTGTTCCCGAGTGTCCAGCACCAACCTCCATTTGATCCGTGGGCTTGGGAGTTGATGCGGCATCTTCCGTTGGCGACACTGACACCGATGATGGTGCAGGCGTAGACCTTGGCGTATTGTCCTGTATCCTGGGCGTCTTGATGTCCTCGGTGGCCATCGCACCACCGCTGGTGTTTGTCAGTGCCTGGATCTGAACCCGATACCTTGTCCCCGACTTCATGTCTCCAATGGCATGCCACCTCCTTGTCTGCATTATCCAAGATCAAAATGTAGAGAGTAGAAAGTGGAGGGAAGAACAAAAATTCTACATAAACGGTTTACACGAGGTTCGATTAAAACCAGTTTTTATGACAAAGAATAAACAAAAGCAGAACACTTGATGCATCCTACTACACGTGAATTACTCAGCTCAACAAGCTTTCGGCGCAAGAAACAGGAGTTGGGAACGAGGTCTACACTGAGACTACTCACAGCGGGAAGGATGAGGTTTTCCACCTTGGCCAGTAAGGGAAAGCCTTCCCCAAACAGCCTGTCTTCAAATGTCCTATGCTCTGCCCACATGATCCGGTACCCGATGACTGGGTAGAGGGAGAAATGGGGTGGGTCCCACGTGAAGCGGGCAGTGATGCTGTTGTGCAACAGCATGAAAAAGTAGGTCACGTTCTCTGGAGGGCTTGGTATGTCTGGCACTGGAGAGAGAAGGATCAACAATGAACACGCTAAATCAGGGGGCCTCTATCCATGGATTCAGATTAAGATGAATACAGCGGGCCAGTTCTGAAGAACTGTGGAAAGCACAGGTACTGTAAAAACCTTTTTTAAATTGCTTGCTATCTACATGGGAGGCCAAAGAAATGCACCCTGGGTTGAGGACAAAGTTTACCTGAAACTTCACAAGGTCCTAATTACATTTTTCTTCCATCAAGCATTTAGAAGTCATATTTATTATATGGTGTTCCGACAGCTGTGTGAGATTTGTTCACTTTGTGAATTATTTTGTTGCTGTTGGACCAATACCAGCCACCGTTTGCAAACCACCTGCATGCAAAAACTACGACTGCAGTGTAAAAAGAGAGGTCTCTTTGCAGAGCACAGAAAACATTTTGTCAAGAAAAAAAAAAATTATTACGTGTGACTTGATCTGACAACTTGTTTTTATATGCATACAAACAGAAAGTAAATTTAAGAGGAAAGGGGTTATGTTGTTGAACTTACATGGCGTGGGGCAGTCGGGCTTCTCTCGACCTTTGACCCTGAGCTCATTACAAGGCGGTGTGTAGAATCGGACGGTTGCCTCTGGGCTGGTTTGGATGCTGTCTGACACAGCAACGATGGACACCCGATACTGGCAGTCAAACATCAGGTCGTAAATGTTGAAATTCAGATTCTGTAATTAGGAAGTGGAGTTGATTTATGATTGGTTTCTTTGACAGATATACAAGGATTTGTATCAGGGGGAAAAGCTGTGTAGCAACACTCTCTAAGTAACATCTCGTCTTCTTGGGGCCAATAACCGGTGGAAGAAATTCACCACATGACTTTTTGTCTGAATCCATTGTAACAAGGTTTTTTTTCAGTGGCATGGTTCCACGCAATTCCAAATATATATTTGTTGTTTAGAGGCTATTTAACAGTTCAATTACAAAGTCTGTCCAACTTTATTTCAATAAGTAATTCGTGTTGGGCAAATTATTACTGGCATGAATTTGTTTAGCCATGTTACATCTTTGTATCATGCAAATATGCACATTCAATTTAATCTGCATGCAGATACTCTTTAAAAACTATGTTCGACCAAATTAACAATATATATAAAAAGACGACAGGGTGAGAAGCATGCTGTGTTTTCTTTCTTTTCATTAGCACAGCTGTTTACAATCAAGCAGTTTTGGTTATTTGGCCTTGCTATCAAATCAATTGTAAATCATAAAAGATATCAAAGGTGCATACAAAAGACTTAAGCCTACACATTTTATACCTGACTTCTTTTCTCTACTTTTGAAAGGTGTGTGACAGTGCCCAGCTGATTTTTGTGCAACAAATTTTCGTTGTGTGGACAAACTGGGCATAATGAAAGCCCGGGAAAACTGGTGCATTGGAAGTGTTGATGTCAGCAGTCTTTACATGTCCTCAAGATGTGTCTAAACTTTCACGTTACCAGGATAACATTTTTACAAAACACAAGATTTATCAAATACAGCATATGGGTAATTCCAGAAATTAGGGGTACAAAAGTGTGAACTTTTTGTGTCCCTGTTACATCTGACCTTTGTTATTTGACATGGAAATATCATCAGAATTGATTTCAAACTGCCTATTTGCATGGCAGGTACATGTAATTTGCATTAATTCATCACTCTTGGGAATTAGAAAATGTGTTCTGAACTTAAAAAATCACATGTCAGATGTGACAAGGACATACCACAAAATGGACCCCGAATATCCAGACTTACCCATGTACATGTACGATGGATTAATAGAGTTATGATGATGAACAAGACAAAATATAGGACGTGTGGTCAGCATTTATGATCCACTCATGCACGTAAATATGCAGGCGCAAGGACAGTGATCAGAGACATCATGAACACAACTTGCAGTTCACGTCAGTACTTCACAGCGTGCAGTTGGGTGAGGACGGGTCAACCGCCATCAGACAAGGCAGGCAGATAGAACTTACATGTGTTGTGGCTCCCGTGACCGGATACCGTGGAAAAATTTCATTGGCCTTTATTTTTTTTTAAACCAGAGCGAGCAAGGAATGACAAAATGGTTGAAAACAATAATGGAAAAAAAATGTATGACTCAGGAAACAGGATTTAGAGAGAAATGTGAAGAGTTTAATTCTGCATCCTCATGAAAATTTGTTGTCTCTGAACAAATGCTATCAAACAACAGGAGCACATTTCATTCTAACAAAGTTCTAGCGACTAATAGCTCCTGAGCATTTTTTTATGTGATAGTGTATAGATATGCAAAGCCAATATCATGTAACACCACGCCACTCTATGAAACTTTTGCCAAATATATCAGGAAGATATTTCTTGGGGAGAGGGCTTGGTCTGCAAAAAAGTTTTTTAACCATCATCACGTGGTTTAAGGTCAACTTGTTAAAATTCAGATGAAGGCTGACTAAAACCTGAAAAGCAGAAATTTATGCTTGGAATGTCGCCAATTTCAGATCTTAAAAAACACCAGGAAGCAGGTAACACTTACATGTGTTGTGGCAGTTAACGAGCTGTTGATATGATCATTAGCACATCCCATTGGCTGCCAATGTATGATGAAGCGATTCACAGTCCTTTCAAAACCTGCCCAAAAACATTTTCAAGAGAAAACCAAAGTCAACTCGAATGCCTCTGCAAGGAATGTCACAACTTGTTTGAAAATGATCATGAAAATAAGACTTGACATGTGAATAGCATGTTCAACCAAAAAGAGAAATTAATTCCCTAAACTGCCAAGGAGGAAGTGAAATCCATTTGTATAGTGAGCTGCCTGATAGTGGAAATGTGGCAGAAACAGATCTGGCATGTCCCACTGACTTCATCTACATGGCATAAAATATTTTTTCAGGGAGGCCACAAAGCCCTTCTGGGAAAAATTATCTCGGCCCACTTTTCTCCCTGATATAAGGGGATCAGGTGTCGATCGATGACCGACCATTTCCCTCCCTTTATCTATTACCTTTGGGTTTCAGCCAGGAGATGCGACATTTCAGCTTTCTGTCTTCCCAATATGGGTCATCGGGAACAATCTCTCTCACCACACCAGGCGCTTCCTCTGACAAAGATGGCTGCTCGACTCTCGTCAGGATGGGAGGAGAATCTGAGGGTTTGGAGGTGGGAGGATGGGAACAGAGATAAAAAAATAACACAGTCTTGTAATTCGGACCCAAAAGAAAAGATGGAAACCGGTTTTTATGGCTGCCGAGAATCACTCAGGGAATGACAGCGATTTTTTGTTTTAAATCAATAAATACACCTCAAAGGAAACTGAAGGAGAAATCCCCACCAGAAATCCAAAACAAAAGCAGAAGTCAGCAAAGATCTCACAGGAAAGCTGAACTCCCAGCTAGAAAAACCTTGTACCCATCTGCCCATCAAAGCCCGGCAAAACTGAACTTTCACAGAACTTTCGAAGACCTTAACAAACGCCTCCCCTGACAGACACAAGATCAGGCCTACCTCGTGGGGGCGTGAGGTCTATGGTCCTGATGTAGATGGAGGTCCTCTCGCTGCGTTTCCGGGCGTCCCCCCACTGGGCGATAGCCAGAACCTGAATGTAATACCTTGTATTTGGGTGCAGACCCTCCAGGGTAACTTCATGTTGATCCTACACGAACAAACAGAGATTAATAAGATGAAGACAAATGCAAATTATATTACAAATGCCCTTCCAACCAAAATACTAGGGCATTTTTATGCTTGGTACCTTTGCGACGTACATGCACGTGGCATTACAAATCACGTACTCGACGAGAATGCACTGGGCAGTTTGAAAGTGCCCACCAGTGCCTTCATCCATTCTGCAACAATGCTTCCTAAGTTTTGTTCGCAATTTGAAAAAAAAAATTGTTGGCAGCTTAGGAACGATAACCCTACCCCTTGCACATTGTGGCTTTTTTCCTCGATCCATACATGGTCAGGGAGGGCCCGAGAGACTCTCTCGCTGTAGAAGACACGGTAGCGGGTGACCTGCAGGTCGCTGTTCTTGGGTGGGTCCCACATGACCCTGAGGTTGATGAAGCCATTGAAGTCAGTCGATTGGCCCTCTCGGAGATTGAGCGGTGGGCTCGGGACTCCAGGAGCTGAAAATGGGCATAAAATCAAACCAAATAAAGTGAAATTTATCAAAAAATTTTTTTTGTAGTCTCTAAAAGCTGATAATGGAAGTCAAGGAAACTGTTGATCAAAATTGATATATTATTTTGTCTGCAGCAAACAACTCTGAAACCAAACAAAAACTCAACCCCTTATTTTTATTTATGGAAAGCAGTTTCAAAGTATTAACAGTTTTAAAAAGTCTCTCCCCAAAACAGGACAACTCCTTGGTCTAAATCTTCACAAAAAGTAAAAAAAAAACAAAATACTCACTTCGAGATAATCTGAAAGGTAGCGTTGGCTTGCAGAAGCCAAGAGAGCCATTTTCGTTGACAGTGGCCACTTGGATTCTGTAGTATTTGCCCACATTGAGCTCCGCCAAATACTCCATTTCGTCAGTCTGCAAGTTATCAAATGCAAAATGAGGAAAAATGAAGAAATATAACAGGAACATAAAACAGAGAGCAGTCCAATCATTTGTGGAGGAGTGAAATGGGCAGGGTTAAGTTCTACCTTTTTTTGAAGGGGTGCTTGTTTGAAAGAGAAGTTTTTGACATGTCAAATGTTAGGAATTTTGAGGGAAAAACCCAACAGATGTTAAACAAATATTGAAGGGAAAGTGGTACGCTTCAGTAAGACAATTACTCTGAGGGATACATATAAAATAATCAAATGTGATCAGCGTTTCTAAAATCAATTCTAACCTCCCCTTTTTTCCCCCAACCACTTTTAAGATCTGTAATGGGGAAGAAAACGAGAATGGGAAGGCGGAAGCTGTCCGGTCCACCTACGATTGCTAGGTCCTTCCAGTCTCCCATGCGGCTAGTGCTTGGATGGTAGCCCGTGTTGTTTCTCCCCTGGACAACATAGAGAACCACGCCCCCTGGATCAGGGTCGTGTCTCCTCAGCTCCCAACGAATAGTGACTGACTGGCCGTCGTCGTTTTCTGTCACTGTGGGCGAATTTCTTGGTTTGGGCGGAAGTTCTGTTTGAAAAAAAAATTGAAATACAAAGGCTCATTTAGAAAAGGAGGAAAAGAGAGAAGAATGTTAGACTGAAATAAGTGGGGGGGGGGCTGATTGCTTACAATAACCAATCACAATATATAGCATCTTTTGAAATAAATAAATTTTAAAAAATCAGATCAGAGTGATTCGTAGTCAAGTACTTTAAGATGGTATGAAAACAGAAATCTCCTCAATAAACAATATTCAAGAACCTGCTTTTTACACATGTATTCAAACAAAACTGGTTTAAAAAGTTCACACAAGTCATAACTGATTTTAAGATTTAACCTATCAATCACTCACACATGGTTTTGTTCATGTACCACCTGTCATTCCCATTTTTAACTTAACGACCAAAGCACCTAGTTATTATCTTACCGCCTCTGTTGATAATTGGTTCTAGGCAGGTGTGACCACAGCCGTTGTAGCAGCATTTTTGTATGCCATTACACTGTGAATCGTTGGAGCAGGTCTCTGCACAGGCCTTCCCGAAGCCACTGATGTCTTCCGGCAGTGGGCAATTGCCGCGCTTTTGGCTGTAGGTGAGTTTCAAGAACTCGCAAGAGCCGTGGCACCAAGACAATTCTGTCGCAGACTGAGGTTGGCAAAATAACAAAACCAAAATATAAAATACCGTAAAATATCCCCCGCTGGCTACCCCCCCCCATTAAATGCCATTACCATAGGTAAATAATTTCCCCAAACTTTCTGGTCAGAATCTTGCAGTGTTTGTAAAACAAACACGCTCATTACATGGGTGGAATGAGTCACATGATCGGAGACTCAGCCCGGTTCGATTCAAGTCTTGCTGTTTTGCCACTGTTTCATGGATGTCTTCCATCAACGACTCGGCAAATGACACTTTGTGCAACTTCAACTCACCATTCAAAAAAGTGCAATTTAACATGGACTATATTTTAGTATCAAATAACACAATGATTGAGTTGGTGTTTTTGCACGCTGAAGTACTCGCCAACTTACCACACATTTTGCCTTGCATAGCGCTAACGTTTTGTACTGTGTTGCACATGGCAGTACACACTGCAGACAAAGAAAAAACAACAAGGAAAAAATTATTATTTGGAACAACTAACAGAGAAAATAGGATCAACTAACTAAAACAGGTCTTGTAGAAGCCAATTTCATAACGAAAATTGAAGCCATGAACCTAAGAAAAACCCCTTTCCATTTGCCTTGCCGGTTTCTAAGACCACAGTTTGTTTTAATCTTCTAGCAAAATTCTGTTCAGTGTTAACCAGCGTGCAAAACTTGTTTACAACTTTTTTTTGTTTCTGAAGAGGTTGTTGAACTCTCATCTCGAGGGACACTCAAACGGAAGAACGCACAAAAAATCGGCCGGTCGGAACCCAAATGGCATCTTCTCCTCTACTGCACAGTGCCTTCCAAATAACCACAAAGGGGACAAATAAAAACCAAGGACCGCTACCAAGAAGTCTCGGAGAAAAAAAAAAAGGTTTGTGCAACACCAGTGTGCATGCCTCATCACCAGTGGCCAAAAGAGCTGTTCGTGGGATGATTCGCTGTACTATGGCCAGGCCTACCAGCCCCCCCTCTGCCAAATAGTAGATTTTATGGAACAGTGGGCACAACCCATCCCTCCATTGTGATGTTGGTTGCCAGCGACCATGCCAAGGTGAGAATGGGTGACGCTTAGGTGGTGGGGAGTCCAGGGCATGTGTCAATCACAATCCTGGCGACGGGGCCCTCTTCCTTCTTTCTCGCTTTTTTCCCCCGGTCTTTTCTTGCTGGACGGACTTAGAGTGACAACCTGAATGCTGCACTCTCTATTCCACAGAGACGGATTCACGACAGGCAACAATAGCACGGGCCCTTCAAATGAAAAACCAAATGTTCAACTTCTTGTTCCCTCCTCTTCAAAAAAGGCCACTTGTAACATTCCAATAACTACTCGTCGAACATGTCTCACAAGTGACTTATGTAGACCTGTACTACCAGTATGTTTCTAGCACTGACAGTTCTTGACCTTCTTTCAAGTGTCACCACCCAGAGATGGATGAACATATAACACATGAAGACAAGCAAACTAATAAAAAGACTGAAGGCACACCATTGGTCAAATCTCAACAAAAATTGGGAACTGCCACATAACCTTTGAAAACCATTTTTGAACATAATAAAGCACTGGACTGCACACTTTCTCTGTCAAGAACAGCTCAGACGTTTGGTAAATCCAGCACTAAGATTAGTGAGCTACATTACACTTTAAAAATTCTTCATTTGGGTTGTGGTATTAGCAAACAGTCGCCATGTTGAAAACAAAAAACCCATCTTGAAAGGAAAAAAGTCACCTCCTCCCTCCAAGTGACAAGAAAATGTTTTAAGCTTCCCTGCACTTTTCGGGGTAGAAGTATGAGCCCTGATACACTGGATAAGACACTAGAATCCCATGAACATTTGGTGAAACTGCCTTCCTATTGCCTTCCCCAACGCCTCATCACCCGAGTCCAATTAAGTGTGAACCCCTCTTTCAGCCGGTGCACAACCGGCAGCACAATGATTTCGTCACTGTTCACGGAGGGAATAATGCACAGGGGGAAAATTGGCTTTTCAATCATGAAAACCGTCCCTTTTTCTTTCTGGTGCTCGGCCCCCTCGGCTCTTGGTGCATAAGAAAGCAGGTGAACGAACAAACAAGTTTGCCATGAGTCGCACCGATTGCGGTTGGAGAGAAGAATGGCTGTGTCTCTAACCATTATCGTCCTCCATTGTCAGGCCAGGCAACACGGGGAGCCATGACCTCAGGATTTTGGTTTTCTTTTCTCTCCAGTGTAAGCGCTTTTTTCCTTTTTTTTTTCATGACAATTGTAACAGTCTGAACAAAGGTAAATTTTTCGCACATGTACCGGTACTAATACACACCAATGTCATAATGGTTGCTCACTTTAGGCGAGGAAGCATGCCTGCAATATTTATGTTTTAAAGACATTTTCAGGTGTTCAATTCGGGAATTTGATTCTTCCAGTTCAATAAATTCTTTTTATCCTGAGGTTTGTCCAAACTATAGGCCCTACGTGCTTCATTTTAAAAGCGGTATTTTTGTGGAATGTCACATACTCAACATGTAGCATTGTAACTGACGAGAGAGCCCACCAATGGCTGAGAACGAAAACTGGGCAAAGAGAGACTAAGATATGACGGTCCAGAGTCAGATTTCCCATCACAACTTAAAAATATTAAAATCTACAAAAATCTACAAGGAAACAGGAACACCTCAAAGCTAACACCAGTCGACAAAAATATTTGAAGTCGGTTACAAGTACCTGAATGCATTAGCACATGTATTTTTCACCAGACGTGTGGATTACCAAAAAGTGACCTGAGTTAGCTGTTACATGTATATGTAATACTCAGTTATTACCACTGCTTGCATCTTGCATAGATGCATGTGCATGTAGTATCATATAAACATGTATGCACTTCACTGTTCACAGGACAGCTTCCACAAGAATCACTAAAATACACACATATCAGGACCCTGAATAGCCCCCAAACTGGTTGCCATGAATGGGTCCATTCATGGGACAGGATATGCTGTAGGGACCACAAACAAAACTCCGGGTAATCTGGAAAAGCAACAAACTGGACTGGTCCCACAATGCCTCCAAAAAGTGTCTCTAAACTGGTTCTTTGGTAGAAGCTGACTATCCACCAAGTGAATGATTGATGACCATGGGGTGCAAGGCGCCCCTAAAATAGAATTTGAGTTTACCTCTTTCCAAAAATTCCACAATATTAAACGAAAATTGAGGCCTATCTTCAAATACAGGTGTAAAGCACAAGACAGCAACCCTGATGTTCATGTGTGTGATGTCAACAAATTTTTTTTTGTTCGGGCAGTACGGTACAACTCACTGACCCTCTTAATACAATGAACTCAAGCTTCAGTTTGTTGGTGTAGTGTCCCAAACAGTAATTGTTTCCTCTGCTTTCTGCTCCAATGCTTGGGGTCTGGATGGATGAATGAATGGGAGGCATAGCTGTCAGGCAATGAGGCAGTCAGTCCGGTGTAGAGGAAACGGTTAAAGACATTATCAGACAAGTTTCCAAAATTTGGCATTCAAAATCTGCTTATCCATCTGGGAGGACAACTTCAACAAATCTGCCTGAAATTGACTAATTATGCCAATCATTTCCACGTACACTGTGCCTGGGTAGAACAAAAGCACAGTCCTTCACGGGAGTAAAACTGAATGAATGTGTTAGCCCATGGTTCTGTCATCAAAACAAACTTTCTGTACCACAAGAATGCTCCTTTAAAGCCGAGTCTCTCTTCAACAACAAAACTTCATAAACCACTGGATATGAGAAACTGATTCTGGCACTTTTGTGCATGCATCCTTCCTTATTGAAATCGTAGCTACTGAGAAAGTCTCTGTTCTCTTTCATGAGATGTCTGTCAATTCAAGAATGTATGAAGGATTTCCTTCAGGTTTGACACATCAGCCGAGTAAGTAAGCTTTAGATTCACCATCACACACACAAACTGCTCACTATGCCGAGTGCAATTATTCCTGATGTGAAATGTTTGTTCATTTTACTGAATGTATGGTACCGGTACATGATACCTAGACCCAATTTCGTTAAGGATTCAGGAATGACGTAAATTCAAGGGCCATGTACATGTACCGGTACAAAAAACAGAAGCCAGAACAATCGCAGAACCTTCCAGTAAGTGTTATTTTTACAATGTACCGGTACTGGTACAGTACCCATCAATCCTTAAATAATAACACACACTTGTAAAGCATCATCTAATGTACATGTATCTAGAAAACTACTCCGAGGCACTAACTATCATAATCCCTGCACATTGGGCTCACATCATCTGAACATTTCTGAAACCCTCTCAGCTCCCTGGGAGTATCCCAGCCCAATGCTGCCATTCCGGCGCAAGCAGCTAAACATAACCATATCTCCCGTCACTGGTAACCATTTACTCCTGCATGGAGAAACGCAAATGGGAGTAAAGTGACTTGTCCAAGATCACAACATGCTGCCAGCAGATGGATTCGAACCCCCAACCCTATGATCAAAAAGCTTCAAACCCTAACCACTGGGCCATATGCCCCTCATAATCCTTTCTGTTATGTATTGTTGTAAATGTACATACAAATCTCAAGGACTAAACTTTTTAACCCGAGAGAGTCATGATTTTAGGTTGGAAGCGATTCATAACACTCATAATCATTTCATTGGCTGGTATAGTTATGTTTTCCTTAAACATTTCAACTCAGACTTGAAGCCATCCAGTGTGAATTGAATTTTCAACTTTCAAGCTTGTTTTAAAATGCACTTGGATAATACAAGGAGCGCTGAGGTAAAAACAAGTACGAAACTTTTAAATGCAGTTGATTTATCAGGAAGTTGAAACAAATTTGTCCCATTAAATGTACATGTTGCCAGAACAATGTCATACAGCTACAGCACTGCTCCAAACCACCTGTTGGGTACAAAATTAATGGGGTCTATCATGATCACTCCATCCTATTCAAGCATGATTGGAGCCGGCAGTGCAGCACCTGCAAGTGCTCACAGAGCAGACTAGGAGAGGGTCAGTCTTCCTCTCTCCTTCCTCTTGCTCCTGGCTGTTTGTCCAGCGTATTAGGGGCTGTATGTGTCCCCCAAATCCATCCCTGGATCTTTTCTCGTCTCCCTGGTTTTTCTCATCTACATGTAGTGGGGCTAAGCTTCTTTTCTCCTGTTGGCCTCTGTGAATGCATGGGGGCTCGGAACTACTGGTAGAAATACAGTTTGTTTCTCTTAGCATTCTGGGATTTGTGCGTGACGTACAGTCATACAGTGGCTGGCACCAGTTACTAATTTATAAAAAAACTGGTAACAATAAATGTGAACCATTTTCAGTTACGTGTAAGATGTACATGTACCTGTACAGCTAAAAGGGTAATTTCTCATAAAATGAGCATATGGAGTCCATTTGTAGCAAGGATACAAAAAAAAAATTCAAACAATTATAAAGACTTTGGTTCGGGAAACTGCTA